ACACACACACACAGAGAGAGAGAGAGAAAGTGCAACAACTGTTCTACACACCACACACAGTGAAACAGGATTACTAAACAAATGAAGGAGGGCTGACATCTTGATGATCTGACAAAACCAAAGACCCCTGGGTGTGTGACATCAAAGGGCAGCTGAACAGGGCATTAGGAGAGAGACCCCAGTGGTGCTGTACATACATCCCTCACTCTCATCCCTCCCTCGCTCTCACTGGTTAATTATTGAGCAGGGAAACACACTCCGCCACTTTCTCTGGCTCTCTGTGAATTATTGACGCATGGTGCAGTACAATAGCCCCATCTGGAGAGCCCTCCCAGCCCTGCAGAAGCCATCATTAAAGTGTGACCGGCTCTGAGAGAACAAAAGTGAGTGAGGGTTAGAATGAAAGGAAGGAGGGAATGAACTCGTTGAAGAGAATCGTACTTTAGAAATTGTGTGGCTATTTTTTGAAAAGGGGATTGTAGTTAGAGTTAAGCTTTGCTTGTCACAGTTAAATGGGAAAATTCCAACAGAAATCCTGCCCTGCTTAGGGGGAGTTACAGACAGTATGCAATACCAAGGACATACAGTACAGTACCACCATGTACTTAGAAACCAGTTGCACTAGCAGTGCGTGTGTGTGTGTGTGTGTATTCTGTTCATATTTTATGATTCCATAGTTGCTGCTATTTGTAGCACACAAGTGCCCAGTATAAATGTTTGAACGTCTGGGAGGCTGTTTGATCCATCTGTGTTCCATTGCGACCTCCTCCTGCCTGCAGTGTAACATTAACCCTGAATGGCCCCTTTGTAATCCCCTCATGACATCACATTTACCTCCTCCTACCCATGTCAGCACTAGTCACCGTGACAAAGGGCATGACGTGACCCTTTGCTGGCCGGGTGCACGCATGCGCACACACGCGCACACGCACGGAGCTGTCACTCAAACACAAATGGGAACCTGTGGATCTATCACACAGGCTGGGGAGGCCATTTGCCCGAAGGTCTTTCTTGTGATATATAGACATTCTGACAACATAATGTTCTGAGAGAGAGAGAGACACATCACAGCTGCAAGATTTGTGACCTGTTGCCACAAGAAAAGGGCAACCAGTGAAGAACAAACACCATTGTAAATACAACCCATATTTATGTTTATTTATTTTCCTATTTGTACTTTAACTATTTGCACATTGTTACAACACTGTATATATACATAATATGACATTTGAAATGTCTTTATTCTTTTGAAACTTCTGAGTGTAATGTTTACTGTTAATATTTATTGTTTATTTCACTTTTGTTTACTATCTACTTCACTTGCTTTGGCAATGTTAACACACTTTCCCATGCCAATAAAGCCCTTAAATTGAAATTGAGAGAGAGAGAGAGAGAGAGAGAGAGAGGAGAGAGAGAGAGAGAGAGAGAGAGAGAGAGAGAGAGAGAGAGAGAGAGGAGAGAGAGAGAGGGAGAGAGAGAGAAGAGAGAGAGAGTGAGAGAGAAGAAGAGAGAGAAGAGTGAGAAAAAGCGAGAGAGAGAGAGAGAGAGAGAGAGTAGCGGAGAAAGAAGAGAGAGAGAGAGAGAGAGAGAGAGAGGAGAGAGAGCGAGAGAGAGGACTAGTAGGCAGATTTATATTTCAGAACAGCAGAATATTCAATCATATATTTGAAAACCTGTACAGACCACTCAGCAGACACAAAAGACAACCTCACAGTGAAGTGGGTCCACTGATGTGGTTGGTAACAGGTGAAATCATAGTGCTCATTCCATATGCCAACAATTAGCTGGAATTCGAGTGGATTGAACCAAGAAAAAGGCATTTCAGTATAAAACACACGTTTTCAATCCATTTTACTCTATCATTCTGGAAGACAATGGCACTACAACCTCAAAGCTCATAATCTGAGTAAATATAAAAAGTCATTTTATTTCCCATAATCAAAATAAATATCCTGGAATCAAGCGACAGGAGCATTGGATAAATCCTGCTGTATCTCTTCATTAAACACAATTAGGAAGTCATCTGCTTTGTAACAAGCCCAGCTCCCCATGTTCTCTCTGCTCACAAAGGCTTTCTGCCGGGCGCAACTTCTCTCTACTAATGACAGATAATTAACACCCCTAGCCAGTGTGAAACACACATGGATTTTTACAAGCCATGAATTCACACTAAGGCATATAAAAGATGAATATGGCATGGCATTTGAAATCCATTTAAATGGACAGAACTGCAACAAATGTGTGCCATTTTCTTATTCATCTCAACCCAAAGGCTTTCTACTATTCCTCCCTTTCCTCTTTCTCTTCTTGGCCTCCATTTTTCTAGGATTGTATATTCTGTTCCACTCTCGCCACCTCCCTCTCTCCACCTCATTCTTCCACTAAGTGGGGCATTATCTCTCCCTTCACTACTTCTCTCCCCCCTCCCCTCTTTCCATCTCGCTCTGCCACCCATCCAGCTCACTTGAGGGAACGAGTCTGGATGGCAGAGGACATGTCTTTTCATTAACGTCAGTAACACTTCACATGGAGCAAGGGAGCGAGAGAAAGAGAGTGTGCGAGGGATGGATGGGAGAAGGTCTTCACCACACATCCTGTAAATTGATGGAGAAGCCAGTCGGGACCCCCAGGGCCTGCTTAGAGTGAGCTAACAGACCAGGGACACACCGGCCATGGTGACGGAAATCTCATGATTGCTGCTTCACACGCACGCGCACGCACGCACGCACGCACGCACACACACAAAGGTGTCTTTGTAGACTTTCCAGACACCTGTCTACAGTACATTCACACCTTGAAAACCAATCCAACACTCCGTATCCGCAAAATATCTTTAAATTATATTTAGCTGTATCTTACTTGTGGAGGGATATCGGATATCAGAGATCAGATGCTAACAGCACATAGATCAAAGATGCTGTGTACCTAACACCACTCATCTACTCATTAGACAGGGCATTCAGTGTGGAGTAATGAGTGTCCATTTCATTAGCTCACTAACTGGTGTTGCATGGCTGCAGGTCTATCTATGCCACCCTCAATGTTGAATGTTGAAACATTCACAGGAATTAATGATGGTTGTAATAGGGGGGAGCTAGGTGCTAGTGACAGATTTGTAGTGTACTAATTAAAACCTACTGGACTGAGGCCTGTCTCTCTGCCAGCTGCAGGCTCTCTCACACTGCTGGTGTTAAGTAGTTGACTACCAACTCACACCTAGACACTGATCTCAACCACCTGAGCTGGACTGGACTCCACAATGAATACTGTACATTCCACTGGCAAGAGGATATGCACAGCATTTAACTTCCTGATTATCATAATTGTGCATGCAATAATATGCAACTATCCAAAAAGCCCCCTCTAAATGTGATTTTATTTTATTAATGAGCATCCTGTTCCCACTCCTGACCAATGTTCCCTCTAAGCTCCGCGTTCGCAGGCGCGCAGCTCCCCGGGACTGCCGCGCAGAGTAAATACCAGCCTGTGCAGAGAAACACGAGAACTTTCTAGAGTTTTCCCCCTTAGTTAACACTATCAACCTTTCCCTTTACTGTGGGAATTGTGATCGAATCAATGCAAAACTAGCCACTTTCAATGCAACATACCAAAACAAAACGAACTATGCAAGAGATTTTTTTGTAGGCAGAATGCATCGGAGTAGAATTCTATTGCATTGACACGCATGACTAAGCCCACACTCTACACATAGCTGCAGTAGGCCTATATGCAAATAGACCATTGCCATATATGGATCTGTGCTATTCCCTTTGAACTACATTTACATTGACATTTTAGTCATTTAGCAGACGTTCTTATCCAGAGCGACTTACAGTTAGTGAGTGCATAAATTTTTTCATACTCGACTGTGTTTACAGCATGAGCGGTCATGAGTAGATGCACTTGTTTTGTCCCCCGAGTGGCGCAGTGGTCTAAGGCACTGTATTGCAGTGCTAGCTGTGCCACTAGAGATCCTGGTTCGTATCCAGGCTCTGTCGTAGCCGGCCGTGACCGGGAGACCCATGGGGCGGCGCACAATTGGCCCAGCGTCGTCCAGGATAGGGGAGGGAATGGCCGGCAGGGATGTAGCTCAGTTGGTTGAGCATGGCGTTTGCAACGCCAGGGTTGTGGGTTCAATTCCCACGGGGGCCAGTAAAAAAAATATATATTAAAAAATAAAAAATAAATAAAAAGAATGACTCACTAACTGTAAGTCGCTCTGGATAAGAGCGTCTGCTAAATGACTAAAATGTCAATGTAAATCAAAGCGAGAGCTGGATGTAGCCAAGTGTGCATATTTGTTCATATCCATTGCTATTTAGTGAGTTATTAGCCCAGTTATAGATCATTTGTAGTCAGCAATGGGGGAGTGATTGCTTCCTATAAGACCATAAAACATGTACATTTCTAGACATCTTTGAAAAGTGAGTCTGGTAAAGAGCTTTTTTTTGTCTTAAAGTGGAAGTGTTGTATTTTGAGAGGGTAGCATACTTTGTCTAATTCTCTGTAAAAATGGTATGGGAATAATAATGCATTTTATTTTGTAAAGTGGTTTCTTGCATCAAACAACAACATTTTCAGTCACCTTGTCTGAAGGACAAGTGGATAAACAGGTTAATGTCAGGCCCTGCATGTTCTTTTCAAAAGTCTAATGGAATGTACGCCTACATTGAACACCACACATTGGCTGCTACTGTAGGCTGAATGATAGAACAGCTATTTCCATGTTAAAATGTTATGGGATTAATTTTCTCCATTGTTTTCGATGGTAGGCCACTCTGGTAGGCCTACATTATGATCAAAAAGCCACAGTAGCCTACTTGACCACTGTCTTAAACTGAAACTTAAAGCGGGTACAGCCTCAGTGTTCACAGTAAACGCGCGCTGGAAGTTGCACAGCAGATCTGAAATTTGCTCAGTGCCTAATAAAATTAAAGGGAACATTTCTCCTGACTTTGGTGACTGGTGATAATCAGGTCTACTGACAGCAGTGTATGTGTTCATGCGTGCGTGCGGTGATGAGGTGAGAGCTGAGGCACTGCTGGCAGATTGTGGGTTATCAGGCTGTGTTCCACCTCGCCAGGGAGGGAGAACAGCAGGGACAGTCCTGTTACCACTGGGGGAGGGGAGGCCACAGTGAAGTAGAGGGTGTCAGCTCCACGCGTGACTGATTGCTCCCTGCCACAATGGATTCGACTCCCCCATCCTCAACCTCACCCTCACCTCACCCCCTCCCTGCTCCTCCACAGCCAATGTCATTAATTATCTTCTGTCCCCTTCCTTTGGAGTCGCTGGGGCTCCACAAACATCCACAGCTCACATCAAATCTGACATAACCTTGGACGTCCCCCCTCTCTCTCTCCCTCCCTCTCTACAGCTCTTCAACTACCCCTCAGTGCTGCCACACCAACCCTGCCTAGTAACGCCCGACATCTGACTGGGATTATGGATAAAATGTGAAAATGGAAAATACTATAGTGTTTCTGTTTTTCACTCCAACCCCCCAATCTGTTCACACAGGCCGGGGCGCTGGCAGCTGACTGACTGCAGGTAGAAAAACAGGTGCCATAAAATCATGAGTGAAGGTTTTTTCCCATCTGGTACCGTTGGGGTTGTAATAGATCCTGTCCACGAGATCTGGGTTTTAGCCCTTAAATCTTCTGAGAGGATCGCTCACCCAATGGAAGTAATCCTCTCCGTCAACGCTACGTTGTCTATTTAATGCCTGCGAGGTAACGTGATTTGAACATGTTCTGTGTGTTTGTGTCTGTGTGTCTGTCTGTGTGTCGTGTGCTGCTGTAGCGGTTCTGCTGACCACCTGCTTATTAGCACTGGACCAGTCATGCACACGTGAGCATGTAATTAACTGAGAAGAGAGGGGGAGGAGAAGGAGGAGCGTGAACGCAAGCGTGTTGATTTATTCTCCTGTCACCTTGACCTCCTGACTGAGATGCAGCTCAATTAAGTAGGCTTGCCCTGCCGTATCGTAACTGATCTACTGCCCACCGCCAGTCTGTCAATCTCACACACAAACACCCACACCTCCAACACGCATACCAGAAACGGAGACAGGGCCTCACAATATAAAAACCCCTCATATTGTTAAGATGTACACTGAGTATTCCAAACATTAGGAACCCTTTTTGCCCTCAGAACAGCCTCAATTCATGGACTCTACAAGGTGTTGAAAGCATTCCAGAAGGATACTGGCCCATGTTGACTCCAAAGCTTCCCACCGTTGTTTCAAGTTGGCTGGATGTCCTTTGGGTGGTGGACCATTCTTGATACACACTGGAAACTGTTGAGCGTGAAAACCCCCCGCATCAATGCAGTTCTTGACACCTACTACCACACCTACCATACCCCATTTCAAAAGGCACTTAAGTATTTTGTCTTGCCCATTCACTCTCTGAGCATACATACACAATCCATGTCTCAATTGTCGAGGCTTAAAAATCCTTCTTTAACACACCCCTAGAGTTGATTTCCGAGGCCCCGCGGAAATTAAATTAGCATAATAATAAAAAAATCCCATAGAAATCAGTCAGTTTTAGCTAGAGATATCTGGTTGTTGTTTTTTGCATTGGATGCATCTCAATCCACTGCATCCACCGATGCCGCACTTCCGCATCTGCGGTGAAAGGTGACAGAGATAGAGCGGTGTTTGTCAGATCATGAAACGTCCCGAAAATCCGTCTTCTCACAAAATCATCTGTAGCGTCCAAACAGTTTATGACCCCCTCTATGGAAATATGAGACGCTCACGAACACGATGGTGTTCTCTGTTTTTCTCTACGAACCCCACAAGCATCTTGTGACTCGTCTGAAGTCGGTACAGCCGATCTGCCAACTTCTGTCTGTACCGTCTGAACAGTTTGGCTACACACTAATATGACCCCTCTGTGGAAAAGTGAGACTCTCACGAACACGTCAGTTGTTTTGCTCTAGGATGCCCACAGGCCTCACAAGACTCGTCTGAAGGTCCCCCAGTACCAGTTGAAAAAATGAATGGAAGTACAGTGCATTCAGAAAGTATTCAGACCCGTTCTATTTTTCCACATGTTGTTACATTACAGCCTTATTCTAAAATTGATTAAATTATTTTTTTCCCCTCATCAATCTACACACAATACCCCATAATGACAAAGCGAAAACAGGTTCCTATAAATGTTTGCAAATGTATTACAAATAAAGTATTCAGACCTTTAATACTTTATTACATAAGTATTCAGACCCTTTGCTATGAGACTCAAAATTGAGTTCAAGTGCATCCTGTTTCCATTGATCATCCTTGAGATGTTTCTACAACTTGATTGGAGTCCACCTGTGGTAAATTCAATTGATTGGACATTATTTGGAAAGGCACACACCTGTCTATATAAGGTCCCACAGTTGACAGTGCATGTCAGAGCAAAAACCAAGCCATGAGGTCGAAGGAATTGTCCGTAGAGCTCCGAGACAGGATTGTGTCGAGGCACATATCTGGGGAAGGGTACTAAAAAAAAAATCTGCATCATTGAAGGTCCCCAAGAACACAGTAGCCTCCATCATTCTTAAATGGAAGACATTTGGAACCACATAGATTCTTCCTTGAGCTGGCCGTCCGGCCAAACTGAGCAATTGTGGAAGAAGGGTCTTGGTCAAGGAGGTGACCAAGAACCTGATTGTCACTCTGAAAGAGCTCCAGAGTTCCTCTGTGGAGATGGGAGAACCTTCCAGAAGGACAACCATCTCTGCAGCACTCCACCAATCAGGCCTTTATGGTACAGTGGCCAGACGGAAGCCACTCCTCAGTAAAAGGCACATGACAGCCCGCTTGGAGTTAGCAAAAAAGGCACCTAAAGGACTCAGACCATGAGAAACAAGATTCTCTGGTCTGATGAAACCAAGATTGAACACTTTGGCCTGAATGCCAAGGGTCACGTCTGCAGGAAAACCTGGCACCATCCCTACGGTAAAGCATGGTGGTGGCAGCATCATGCTGTGGGTATGTTTTTCAGCGGCAGGGACTGGGAGACTAGTCAGGATCGAGGGAAAGATGAACGGAGCAAAGTACAGAGAGATCCTTGATGAAAACCTGCTCCAGAGCACTCAGGACCTCAGACTGTGGCGAAGGTTCACCTTCCAACAGGACAACGACCCTAAGCACACAGCCAAGACAACGCAGGAGTGGCTTCGGGACAAGTCTCTGAATATCCTTGAGTGGCCCAGCCAGAGCCCGGGCTCGAACCCGATCGAACATCTCTGGAGAGACCTGAAAATAGCTGTGCAGCGACGCTCCCCATCCAACCTGACAGAGCTTGAGAGGATCTGCAGAGAAGAATGGGAGAAACTCCCCAAATACAGGTGTGCCAAGCTTGTAGCGTCATACCCAAGAAGAATCGAGGCTGTAATTGCTGCCAAAGGTGCTTCAACAAAGTACTGAGTAAAGGGTCTGAATACTTATGTAAAAGTGATATTTCAGATTTTTTTTTAAATGTCTAGAAACCTGTTTTTGCTTTGTCATTATGTGGTGTTGTGGGTAGATTGATGAGGGGAAAAAGGAATTTAATCAATTTGAGAAAAAGGCTGTAACATAACAAAATGTGGAAAAATTAAAGGGGTCTGAATACTTTCCGAATGCACTGTATATATGGAGACTGTTTAGTGCCAAAAATAAGGAGTTAAATACAAACCTCCCGAGTGGCGCAGTGGTCTAAGGCACTGCATTGCAGTGCTAGCTGTGCCACTAGAGATCCTGGTTCGAATCCAGGCTCTGTCGTAGCCGGCCGCGACGGGGAGACCCATGGGGCGGGAATGGCCGGCAAGGATGTAGCTCAGTTGGTAGAGCATGGCGTTTGCAACGCCAGGGTTGTGGTTCAATTCCAACGGGGGGCCAGTATGAAAAATAAATTTAAAAAATAATGTATGCACTCTGGATAAGAGCGTCTGCTAAAATGACTAAAATCTAAAAAAACAAAATAAAATAAATGTTTCCTTATCTCTCAGATATAGGACAGACACCTCAGAACAAACTTCCTTTAGATTTTTTTGGGGGGGACTATCTGTTGTTCCATATAGTGAATCTGTTATTCAATGCGTTTATATGGGCTAATAGCAGGAAGGCCAAATTATATTTTCATCAATATTTTTTAAATATTTTTTTGGATACTTCAAGGGGTCTTAAAATTCAAAATCAAATAGCTAAATGATCCTTGGTATGACCTTCTTAAAACAATTCCATATAGCTTAGTAGAACCCACCCCCCGGCTTAGACAGGGCTTAGACTGTAGATGGTTTAAACCGGTCTCCTCCCCTTCATCTACACTGATTGAAGTGGATTTAACAAGTGACATCAATAAGGGATCATAGCTTTCACCTGGAATCACCTGGTCAGTCTATATCATGGAAAAAGCAGGTGTTCTTAATGTTTTGTATACTCAGTGTATGTGTGTCGGATACAGATAGAAAATTCATTAACACACACAGCACAAAGTCACACTTATCATCCAGTCTCGTGTTCAATTGGCAAGTAGTCATGAATGTGATCATTCAATGTGTGTGTGCAATGGACTGAGAGTGTGAAAGTGGTCATTCAAAGTGTGTGTTTAGTACGGTGAGAGTAAAAAGTGAAAGATTGGTCATTGAGTGTGAAAGGGTGGTTGTGAGTGTTAGGGGTGAGTAATCGAGTACTCGAACGGACGTCAAAACTGTCTTTAACCAGAGATCCAATTTTGTGCTTTGTGGCTTGTCCTGGGAATTAATTTTTTTTTTGTCTTGAAGACAATGTCAATTTGCTTTGACTCTAGTGTTCCATTTGTACATGTGCATTTAAGGGGCACAAAAAAACACGGCAAGCATCACTCAATTACGTTCCAACCGCTCCCTCTACACACGCATGCTGAGTTCGCACACAAGCTCCCGTTAAGCCTACAGAAATAAATGCCTATAAAAAACGGAGGAACGGTGGGCATAAAAAAATGCCTCTTGTTGTGCACTGTTGGCATATAGAAAAATGTGCTTTTTTTTTTTTTACAGTGCAGGCCTTGCCCTTGTGTTATAAAAATAGAACTCGAACAGTCGAAACCTAATGAGTGTAATAGTGACAGTGTGAGATAGCTACTCAGGTTGCTGAGGATGAGACTGAGGTCAGTCAGTAGGTCAGTACCTGCGAAGGCTTTAGAGATGTTCTCTTTTTTCCACTCCCAGGGCTGGTCGTACTCGTCTGCTGGCCGCTCGTCATCCTGCGGCAGCCGGCTCTCCCTGCCCTCCTCCAGGGGGTCTCCGTACCCCAACCCCACCCCTAGCGGCCGCCCCCGCTCATCCTCATAGGGGGTGTCATAGAGCTGCACCTCACCTCGTGTCCGACCCACCCCGGGACCGCGCTGCAACTCTGTTAGAGAGAACACAAACATTTGACTAATTTCAATGAATAGCGTGCGACTATTCCATTTGTTTTTCAAAGAGAGAACACACACGCACACATCATTTCAAAGTCAGACTCTGGCATGAAGGATTTATGAACTAGCAGTTAATAATTTAGAAGAAAATACAGAAACAGAAAACAAACTGTAATTTTGGTTAGAAAACACAAGATTCCTACAACAGGAGGTCAATTGCATCTGTCACAGCAAATTATATAAAATGCCTGTTGAGCAAAAACAACATGAGTTGAATTTGAGGGTGGGAAACAAATTATGTTTGCACAGCTTGCTGACGGCCCAACGCATCATATGGAGAGGCTTAACTAAGCTCTGGGTTAGACCCGGAGTTGTAAAAGCAGAAGAACAGCCCTTCTCTTCACAGTTACAGCAGCAATCTAGTTACTGAATCTCACAACAGCCAGTCTCATTAGCATTTTCATCTGGTTTCTCAGCATGGAGCATGTTATATAAAACAATTTCCCAACACCTCCAACCTTCAGAGAGTTACGTGTGACTTTTAGCTGAGAAGCCATAGATTATTTAAATAACAAAACGCCTGAAGACAGACTTCTGAAACAACTACCGTATCTCATTGATGTGTGAAGCTCAAGGCTTAAAAAACCAGGCAATATTGGGTGTAAGGAAAGTGGAAGGATCTTTTGTCTCCACCATCAGCCTGTCTATGGAGGTGCAGTGATGTGAGAGGGAAAGAGTGCTGGAGCTTAATGGGAGGGTTGGCTGGTGAAAAGCAGAACAGGCTAACTTTAACCTTCAGACTAAACACTGCTATTGGGCGCCCCTGCCGTATCCATGGCGACAGAGGGGGCCCTGCGGACAGACCCTGAGGTGGGAGGAGGAGGAGAAGGTGAGGAAGGGAGGGGAGGGCTGGTTGGTGTTAAATCATTGAGATAGAGGCAGGCTCGGTATTGTGGCATGCTGCTGTACCTGTGCAGGGAGCATGGAGTGTCGGGGAGCAGAGAGGAGATGGAGGAGATTAGGGGAGGGAGATGAAAATAGGCAGGGTGGGAATGAGAAATGGATGGGAACATGAAGGGAGAGAGAATTCAAAGAACGTATCTTGAAGGGAATCAGGAATCTATTACGGTATGCAAATGTATGACAGACCAGCGGGTGAAAGACAGTCGAAACTGAGTTCTGCCTTTATTCTCCCCAACTAAACTTTCAAAAACGTGACAGAACCACATTTAAGATACCTTGGGGACGACATCTGCCAAAAACACACAATAAAATAAAATAAAATACGGGTCTCTGAAAAAAACAGAACACCTAAAAGCAAAAAAGCCATTTAAGGTCAGTTGATAATCTGTCTCTAGGGGGGATAATAGCTGTTCTACTTGAGAATCAGAGCGATATTCAGTGTCACACCTGGCTTTCCCTGTTCCACCATGTTTTTTAATGAGCGCCAACTGACATACAGTTGAAGTCGGAAGTTTACATACACTTAGGTTGGAGTCATTAAAACTCGTTTTTCAACCACTCCACAAATGTCTTGTTAACAAACTATAGTTTTGGCAAGTTGGTCTACTTTGTGCATGACACATATCGACATAACCTGAAAGGCCGCTCAGCAAGGAAGAAGCCAATACTCCAAAACCGCCATAAAAAAGCCAGACTACGGTTTGCAACAGCACATGGGGACAAATATCATACTTTTTGGAGAAATGTCCTCTGGTCTGATGAAACAAAAATAGAACTGTTTGCCCATAATGACCATCGTTATGTTTGGAGGAAAAAGGGGGTGGCTTGCAAGCCAAAGAACACCATCCCAACCGTGAAGCACGGGGGTGGCAGCATCATGCTGTGGAGGTGCTTTGCTGCAGGAGGGACTGGTGCACTTCACAAAATAGTTGGCATTGTGAGGAAGGAAAATTATGTGGATATATCGAAGCAACATCTCAAGATATCAGTCAGGAAGTTAAAGCTTGGTCGCAAATGGGTCTTCCAAATGGACAATGACCCCAAGCATACTTCCAAAGTTGTGGCAAAATGGCTTAAGGACAACAAAGTCAAGGTATTGGAGTGGCCATCACAAAGCCCTGACCTCAATCCTATAGAAAATGTGTAGGCAGAATTGAAAAAGCATGGCCTACAAACCTCAGTTACACCAGCTCAGTTACACCATCTCTGTCAGGAGGAATGGGCCAAAATTCACCCAACTTATTGTGGGAAGTTTGTGGAAGGCTACCCGAAACGTTTGACCCAAGTTAAACAATGTAAAGGCAATGCTACCAAATACTAATTGAGTGTATGTAAACTTCTCACCCACTGGAAATGTGATGAAAGGAATAAAAGCTGAAATAAATAATGCCCTCTACTATTATTCTGACATTTCACATTCTTCAAATAAAGTGGTGATCCTAACTGACCTAAGACAATGAATTTTTCCTAGGTTTAAATGTCAGGAATTGTGAAAAACTGAGTTTAAATGTATTCGGCTAAGGTGTATGTAAACTTCCGACTTCAACTGTACCACAGCAACTCAGTCCTGGGTTGACTGGCTCATTGGCTTAGGCTCCATTGTGTATTTAACAAGCTTAAAGACTAAGAGACCCTTTGTCCTAACCCTGTGACTATGAACTGCTTCTGACCTGAATGAAGCCAGCAAAGACAACAGTCAAACACACTCACACACACTGACTCTCAGACGGATTGAAAAGCTACCCAGACTCCTGAGAGCAGCTAGGGGAGAATCCATCCCCCACTCTAGTGATAGAGACGTTTCACTACATGGGTCTGACAGACAGTGGTTTGGGAAAGTTAGTTGTTACTACAGAAAGGCAAAATGAGAAACGATAGATCTGAACCAAGGGATGGAGGATGAGCGCGAGGGAAAGGGCATAGTAGGATAGAGACATTTGTAAGGTTGTGAGTCAGACTGAGGACAATCTGACTGGGGAAAAGTCTCGCTCCCGCAATGGAGGGTGAAGTGGCCTCGTCGGCAGATCTGTTTGTACTCTAGGCTCTAGCCAACTCTCCTATCTAAGGCATGATAACCAAAGTCAGAGGAGTTGGCTAAACCACAAACAGATCTGGTAACAGGCTAAAAGACAGCGAGAGATATATGAACAAAAATGCCATGAACAGAGAATATATTCCTTCAGTTGTAATTAGCCTACCTTTCCTGTGACAAATTGGGACAATGAGAAATACTTGATTCATCCAAAAACCAAAGCCTACTAACAGACTCACCTGTGATGACGCGTTGGGCCTCGTAAGGCTCCATGTAGCCGTTGTTCTCGCAGGGCACAGGTCCCAGATCAGGCTCTGGACGGGGGTTTGGGTGAACATCAAACGGATCAGAGTAATCTGTATCTCCTACTGCTGGGGCTGACGGAACCACCTGGGGTATAACAGACACAGTACATTACAATGTATCACTCATACAGTGCATTCAGAAAGTATTCAGACCCCTTGACTTTTTCCAAATGTTGTTACGTTACAGCCTTATTCTAAAATGGATTAAATAAATTGTTTTCCTCATCAATCTGCACACAATACCCCATAATGACAAAGCCAAAACAGGTTTTTAGAAATACCTTATTTACATAAGTATTCAGACCCTTTGCTATGAGACTCAAAATTGAGCTCAGGTGCATCCTGTTACCATTTATCATCCTTGAGATGTTTCTACAACTTGATTGGAGTCCACCTGTGGTAAATTCAATTGATTGGACATGATTTGGAAAAGGCACACACCTGTCTATATAAGGTCCCACAGTTGACAGTGCATGTCAGAGCAAAAACCAAGCCATGAGGTCGAAGGAATTGTCCGTAAAGCTCAGAGACAGGATTGTGTCGAGGCACAGATCTGGGGAAGGGTACAAAAAAAATTCTGCAGCGTTTAAGGTCCCCAAGAACACAGTGGCCTCCATCATTCTTAAATGGAAGAAGTTCGGAAACACCAAGACTCTTCCTAGAGCTGGCTGCCCAGCCAAACTGAGCAATCTGGGCAGAAGGGCCTTGGTCAGGGAGGTGACCAAGAACCCGATGATCACTCTGAAAGAGCTCCAGAGTTCCTCTGTGGAGATAGGAGAACCTTCCAGAAAGACCACCATTGATGCAGCACTCCACCAATCAGGCATTTATGGTAGAGTGGCCAGACAGAAGCCACTCCTCAGTAAAAGGCACATGACAGCCCGCTTGGAGTTTGCCAAAAGGCACCTAAAGACTCTCAGAACATGAGAAACAAGATTCTCTGGTCTGATGAAACCAAGATTGCACTCAGGACCTCAGACTGTGGCGAAGGTTCACCTTCCAGCAGGACAACGACCCTAAGCACACAGCCAATACAATGCAGGAGTGGCTTCAGGACATGTCTCTTAATGTCCTTGAGTGGCCCAGCCAGAGCTCGGACTTGAACCCGATCGAACATCTCTGGAGAGACCTGAAAATAGCTGTGCAGTGACGCTCCCCATCCAACCTGCCAGAGCTTGAGAGGATCTGCAGAGAAGAATGGGAGAAACTCCCCAAATACAGGTGCGCCAAGCTTGTAGCGTCATACCCAAGAAGAATCGAGGCTGTAATTGCTGCCAAAGCTGCTCCAACAAAGTACTGATTAAAGGGTCTGAATACTTATGTAAATGTAATATTTCCGTTTTTTTATATAAATGTGCAAACATGTCTAAAAACCTGTTTTTGCTTAGTCATTATGGGTTATTGTATGTAGATTGATAAGGGGGAAAAAATCGATTTAATCCATTTTAGAATAAAGCTGTAACGTAACAAAGTGTGGAAAAAGTCAAGCGGTCTGAACACTTTCCGAATGCACTGTACATATACACAAACAGCACAAACCGTCATTCTGTTACCAAACTTTGCATCTGCACTGTTCTTCAAGTAACTGTGTTTTTGTAAAATTTTCTGCGGAAATTGTTAAAAGTAGTCCTTGTAGATAGAGTTGCGTGGTTTGTTTAACTTTGCAATCATTGGTTTTGTTTGACATACATTTTTAAGTGAAAAAGCTGCGTTTTGGCATCATTGTTACTGTGGAATTGCTCTTATCGAACACCCAGGACTGAAATTGCAATGTTATTGAGGGGTTGGATGTTCTCACACACCAGAATTCCACACAGACATTAATGAGCGCAGCCAGAGCAAGCATACAGAGAGTCTGTATCGACTCTACCTTCCCTTTGACCTTCAATGCACTTTAGGAGCTGTGCACTTGTGGCGTTTCAAATTTTAAAAAATAGATGGATTTGAATGCAGCTGTGAGAAGGCTATCTCTCAATCCACTCACTACCTTAGTGATGATGTGTGAGCTGATTTGTTAACTGAATCAATGTGCATTCCATGCCTCTATAGGCAGACACTCTCTTACTCTCTTTCTCTCCGTCTCTCGCTCTATGAAATTCTGAGCATCCCTGACCCTTGCAGCTGTGACTGTGTGTTCTCCTGCCAACACATACTGTACTCATCCAGGGTGGGTCTATGCAGCCTGTATGTCTTTCCTCACCATGTGTTCACATGGGGATCTCTCTCTGCTTGCTAAACCAAACACCATTTATTATTTATGTCTGGACATAAATTCAGGGGACTGTGACACCCCACTCAATGAGCCATCCAGCCCATCAATTCCTTCCAATGAGCCATCCAGGCCAGCCAATTTATCGGCCACTTCAAACATGGCGTGATGTATTGAAACATTGCATACTTCTGACTCACATTACCAGTCACTTGCTTATGGGCTTAATCAATAAGCAGAGAGGTCTTTGTAATGGTAATGAATGTTAATGTAAAAAACAGAAAATGACTCACAGGCTCTTTTTCTTCTAGGGAGACGGCACTCAGTAAGATCTTAGTTCGCCCCAGGTCCTGTGAGTCCACTTTGATGAGGCGATGTTTGGGAGATACAACCTTCATATCCACACTGCCGGACTTCAGAGGAGAACCAAAGGCAGGGTAGGAGGAGTCCGAGGACACAGAGTCGTTTCTGGCCCGGTTCTCAGAGTCCTCGTATGGGTCCTCAAAGTCTAGGTTCTTCTGAGCCCGATAGGCTTTCAGTATCTCACTCTCTGTGTAGTCTGGTTTGGGTGGCTGAGGAGGCATCCTCCTGCTCCCAAAACTCAGATAGTCTTTGAGCCACTTTGCCATTTTACCTCTGCTCCCTCAGGCACTTGATTGGTTGAAAGACAGGCTGCTGTAAAGGGAAAATACTATGATTCTGGTTAAACTACTTGCTTGCCCTTGAGTGACCTGATTCTAGACCTCAGACAAAATAGACAACATACAGTGGATTGGATTAACATTGTGTATCCTGTTCTGAAGTTAAGTAAAACACTAACATCACTTCATAATGTAGGACTACAAGGATAGCCTTAAATCCTACAATAATCTTCTCTGTGTGCACGTGGACACTTCTCCCACTGGTCCAGGGGCCACTGTGCAACAGACAGCAAAAAAATAAGAAAGAAATCAACCCTAGTCTAGAAGACAACTGGACTTTATTTACCTACTAATGTCGGCTCAGAGAAACAATAAAGCAGTCTTTATAGCAGACTTTGCCAGAGAACAGCAATTAAATTGTAAGCCCAGGTAATAAAGTCTGATTTAATTAACTGATACTGAATCCACTACTAACAACTGCAAGTCATGGATAAGAAAAAGGAAAACCGTTTTTTCCTGACCTGTGTCAAACTTGCTTCAAAACAGAAGGCAATCAACAAAGATAACTAATATGTTACATCACACCTATAATTTACAACAAAATACCACTATCATTAAAGCAACAATACAGGTAACTGTTTAACATGCATTAATGACAATAATACCTAATCAAATAGTATATTTATATGCTAAAAACATATTGGTCCAAAACATCCCACTGTAATCATGTTTTCCTTTCGTTCTTGTCCTCTTCGATGAACGATGATAACATTGAAACAAACTACAATTTAAGCACTTCAATCTATAATTCTACTTCCATGTAAATTCTACAACTTTTAAAATAAGCTTTTCATTAAATTCCAGCTTTTATACTAACAGTGCATTGCGCTGAGACACACCTTCAGTCCTACCACTCAGAATGCTAGCGCTTTATTCCACTTTTCTTCATTTTGATCGTAGAAAGTCGTCCTATTTTAATAGCTTTTGTCCATGAATGTAAATATGGAAAGCACAAACAGTTCGCTCCCGTGTGACAGCATGCGTGCGAGGGTGGAGAAGCACAGCAGAGTTCCGCTTGGAAACCACTGATCGCAAACATCCAAGTGAGAGCAACTACGAGGGAAACCCATAGAAACCAGGGAGAAACCACGCGATTAAAGGGGAGGGGTTCAATCCACGATTCCAAATGGATTATCTCTTTTACAGTCAGCCGATTTTTCATTTAATAATTCTGCATAGACTAGTCCCATAACATAAGAGTAATTGCTTATGGAAAAATTAAATAGGCTGCATCTAAAAATATATATGTAGTAGCCCTACAAATTAAATGAAAATCAGGTTTAAGATACTCAGGCATTTAAGATACTTGACCAGATCAGTGAAATGCTTGTTCTTATAGAATAACAAAACAATTCCAAACGCATGAAAAGAGACTAAAAGTTTTACATAATTGCAATGTTTCCTTTAACCCCCTCTCAATTTGTCCTCATCCCAGCACTCTCTTGCTGATTTGCATGCCGTAATAGCTAGTTAGGCTATGCCACTCAAAATTATGTAAATTCGTTTGGGAAATTGGTAAGAGAGAAATAAGAATTTCCTCTGCACAATAATTAACACTTACACCCTCAAACTGTCATCAGTCTGACACACACATTTTGAGCAAGCAAATGGGAGATGTGCCGTGCCGTGCCTGCCTGCCATACCCTCCAGGAAATGCCCACCAATGCAAAGGCATGGTGAAGCAAAATCTGCAAATAAACACATAATACGCATAAGAGAAAATATCATTTCTGTTCAACATATGTCCCTTTTTGTACGGACCACAGGGTTGTTAAGAAGCTAATTGAATTTCAGCGATCCGGTGGGTGATACTGTACTCTGACACCACCTCCCGGGAGAAAGAGAGGATGATGTCATCCCCCCCACACTCCTCCAACAGTCCCCCACTGCTCCCACACTCCCCAAATTCCTTCTTCCAGACTGGTATGCCTGGCAGGAGGAACAGTGGGGAACAAAAGAGTGAAGTAGAGCAAGAAAAGGAAGGAAAGGCAGTTCCTTCTGACCCCTGCAGAGAGAGGAGGACGTAACATCACATTTACTGATACGATGATGTGTTTGCGTAAACAACATGCCTGGTTTTTCCACCAAGGACTCAAATGAAATCCAATTGAATGAAAATCCATTTGCGTGGAAATAATTATAGCACAATCATCAATGAAGGCCAGTAACAACATAGTAAATGTAATGATTGGCATGTATCGCCATCTCTTGGTGATTTGAAAGAACTGCATAAAGTACAGTCTGTTTCCATCATTTTCATAATGACAGACACCGATTCAATCATTTATCTGATTAAATACGATGTGATACATGTAGCAGGGGGCTGACCTGACTGTTTGGCTGGTATGGTTTTGTCTGTACTGATCCTTTTGTATGTGTCTCTCCCGCACCAGCGACACCAGAGGTCCCAGAGACAGGCTAAAGTGCTCTGCTGTCCACCATTCAGGTCTCTGATCTGGGGCAATCCACATAGGCTGTGTTTACACCGGCAGCACAATTCTGATCTTTTTTTCACTAATTGGTCTTGTCAACCCAAACTTTTTGTGCAAGGTACTATATACGCTGCGTTCAGACCCCGCGCACTCAACGTTGTCGAGATACAGTACATCGTTGGTGGAGAAACAGTGAAGCCATCTGTAGCCTATTGCCTGTTTCTGTTTATGAGTATTTTATTAAAGAATGTGAAACAATGTTGTGTTTATTTGCTGGAGTTCGCTTCTGCTGCAGCCTTCGCTGCAAAATATAACGCGTTGCTACGGTGTTTCCGATGTGATTGGACAAAATACCAATTTGTGAAAAAAATATCAGATTTGGGCTGCCTATGTAAACGCAGTCATAGCCACATGCATCCTGCTGTAAAGAACAGATTTCAGGGATAATTCGATTTGCTTTGGAGGGTTATACACAGAATGTCCAGTAGTTTCAATTAGATATAGATATTTTAGTTCAATGCAAATTAGTGTAGGTCTATTTATAGTGTTATAATTGTCTGAGCCATGTTCAGTTAAATGTGATGTTTTACAAGAAAACATGAATATTTACTTTAATGTAAGCTAACCTACCCAACTCTCTGTACAAGCCAAATTTCGTTTAAAGTGCTTTGTACTTTTCCGACTTTATTAGGCAACACTGTTTACTTTCTTCTCCTTCTCTTGTCCTGGTGCACTACTGTCCTTCCGGCCTGATCTTAAATCCCACCCCCTAATTATCATGATTGGCTACGTCTTCTTGTTTTTGTCTTAGTGATTGGCTATACTGTATTAAAGAGTGTATCCAAGTTCCGAAGTCATCCAAAACTGCAACATTTGACGTAATACGTTACACTGTTACAATTTGGGATATGCGGCAAGACTCTCTGTGACGACAAACTGCAATGCAGTGAAACATGGTTTATCGCAATAAACCAGATTATTTCTAATGATAAATTATGTTTATTTTATATGAAATTGGAATCTTTATCCTCAAGTGATAAATATGAGTTATTCCAATATCTACATCAAAAAATGCATACCATACCAAATCTGTCATGTACACCCGCCAATCAAAATCCGATCCGGCTTCTGTCGCATAGGTGATTGGAGGGTCTGGAAAAAGGGCAGGTGCATTTGAAAGTCCAAAAGGGATGGATCAGTTGTGTACGTTGCGGCAGCAGGCGACTCATGGGACAGAAGCAACCCCCTCCAACACCACTCTACCTCAGGTATTTCTTTCTATACCAATATAATTTTGAGGGATTTTGACTAATGTGTGTAGGCCAACTACATGCATATTAACTATTTATTACGACTGTAATATTAACTGTAAATGTATTAGTTATGTTTACCAAAATGCAAAATGTTTCTTAAATGAAACTGAGAATAGCCCTATGTCTCGATGATGCCATTCTAAAAAATATATGGAGGTTTATCACACAAGACTCCATCAAACCTGGTTATTGTTGTATTGTATGCTATGCAAAGGGACACCTGTGTGAATGCACGTTAAAAGCTAGCAACCCACATGTGTTTGGTAGATTGAAATGCTATGGTGAGTGAATTGGGGTATTTCTTTTCAGTTTCCCTTTTCTGGATGCAAAGTGAAGTAAGGCAAAATGAAGAGCCTCAAGGCAAAGTTTAAGAAGAATGAGGTAAGAGGCAAGAGTTGGAGACTCTCTTACAAAATCATCCACATAATGCACTGATATCTACATACACTGAGTCAGGTTACATTTAGACTTCGGAGGTATATTTAGGTGCAGTAAAACGTATTATTCAAACTTTTTTTGACCTGATATTGACTGCTATCGGTGGTGCTAGGCTGTTCTTTGTCTGCTGGCTATCTGTGTGTGGGTCCCAGGGCTGACAGGCAGTATGTGTGTGGGGGGCACTGTGCTGGGTGTCAGTATCACTGAGCAGCAGGGGAGCAGGCCAGTCTGCAGAATGATGCTGGAACCAGAGCTCTCAGGTAGCCTTCAATTATTCAGCCCACACACACACACACACACACACATTCAAATAATCCTTCATTTCCTGCTATCGTCCCCATCCCATTATGCAGGTGGTTGTAATGTCAGGGTGAAAATAAAGTAATCAATCCCAAGACAAGAACCAGTCTGTACTAATTTTGTATTGCCTAATGTCTTAAATGTCTAAGCAACTGGAGCCTTGTGTTTGGTAGCTAGTAGCTGGTAGCTATAGCGGTGTGTGGCTATGCTATACAGTACTGCAGTTAGCTCTAAGCTCTGAGTAGAAATTCAACTCCTGTGTGCCTTGGCCTGTTTTAGTGCGAGATCCCCCGAGCCTGAGTGATATGGTTGCTCTGCTGGGGTGAAGCTGAGAGAGAACAGAGTAAGTTATTAATCAGTCGATGACTAACCCTCTCACTGGGAGGGATGCTCAGATTTTCATTCAGAGAGCGAGAGCGAGATACGGAGGGAGAGAGAGGGGGAATCACACTTTATTAACTAGATTGAGCACCAGTCAGGTAGCTTATCATCCATCTTAATTTGTCTCACGACGTTGGTCACACACAGACCACACATAAGCACACTATAGGGAATAGATCCAGCCTACTTAACTGGTTATTACTGTTGGTATACCCTGCCCTCTTTTCTATAGAGTTAATCATTTGATAGAACAATGCATAATGCAAACAAAAAAGGATATAGTTACTTTATGACCTCATCTCAGTTTAATAAAATAATAGATTATATTATTTCACTTATTGTGACAGTTACTTCTAATGCTGTAAGTGGCTGTGTCCAGGTCAGATGAGAGTTAATTCAATATGTTATTATTCTATAGTATATACAGGGCGGAAGGTAGCCTAGCGATTAGAGCATTGGGCCAGTAACCGAAAGGTTGCTGGATTGAATTCCTGAGCCGACAAGGTGAAAAATCTGTCAATGTGCCCTTGAGCAAGGCACTTAACCTTTATTTGCTACAGGGATGACGTACTTTAACACATTTCACTGCATCTATCCGGTGTGTGTGACAATAAAACATTTTATTTGAAAAAAATTATCAGCGTGTCCCCTCTGCCCTACCCAGGCACAACCAGCCCTGTACCAGCCAGCTCTTTTCTCCTGTTTCTGCTGAGCCTTCATCTTCTCCTGAAGCACAGAGGCCCAGAGAAAGAGTGTGGCTGGGCTGCCAAGCCCAAGTAGGACAGCACAGGGAGGGAGAGAGCTGACTGAAACAAATGGACAGACTGTGAGAGGAGCGAGAGGAGGTAGAGAAGACAGTACTAGACTAGGCTGGTGTGCTAAATAAGAAAGGCCCCAAAAGAGGGAGGTGGTGTGTGTGTGTGTGTGTGTGTGAGAGAGAGAGAGAGACAGAGAGAGAGAGTTTGTGTGCCATGTTGAGACTGCAGACTGAGTACGTAGGTCCCTGAGAGCAGCAGCACAGGAAGAGGGGAAGGTGTTTTGGCTGAGAGAGCAGAGCACTGCGTATGGAGAGCGATGTTATCGTGAGACTCAGAGGGCTAGAGCAGTGTGTGTGTGTGTTTGTGCAAGGATGTATAGCCTAATGTTTATCTTTAGTAGGTGCATCATCATGGTTCTGTTTTGATACACGCATGGGGTTGTCGATTGTTTTCAGTGAGGTTTATGCTATGCATTTATGCTTTGTCATTTAGTCAGTGCTAAGTTAGTGCTAAACTCTGATGCTGTATTTAAGGCCTATTGGCGGTTGAGTAGTGTATATGTTTATGTGTGTCAGAATTCTGGTCAGGCAGTGCACAGTTCTATGGGTCTATGGATCCCTCCTAGCTCTATCGATCGTCAGCTCTGAACCTGATGAAGCGTTATTTCTGTCCTTGTTTCAGCTTACTGGTGGTAGGTACCCTCTCTTTTACATATGTTTGACCTCAGCTGTCTTTTCATTGTACTTTCTCTCAAAGGGTTACTTTTTCTGGCAAAAACAGTTAAAAAGAAATGTTGTGTACTGTGTGTAATGTACCATAGAAGCAATCAATCAGCTTGTGCCGTATGTCCATCATCATTTCACTTCGACGAGGCATACAGTATTAGATTTGGTAGTCTCATCTAGACGTATAGTCATCACTCAGATCTTTGTATAGTATGTAATCAGATAGGAGTCCGCGTCTACTCTGTACTGGATGTACTGTCATTTGGTTAGCTCTGATCATGAGTTCCAGGTTGCGACTGAGTTGTAACCCGTCAGTGCCTGTCCCCTTAGAGCCAGGACTGGAGTAAGAGCGATGAGAGACTACTGCAGGCTGTGGAGCAGAATGAGCCAGACAAGGTAGCCGCCCTGATCGTGAAGAAGGGACTTTGTCCCACCAAACTGGACGCGGAGGGAAAGTCAGCGTAAGTACCAGCATTTAGGGCCAGTTTCCCGGAAACAGATTAAGCCTAGTCTTAGACTAAGAACCACTTTCAATGGAGAATCGTTATTGAACTTGCTTGTTAGTCTAGGACTAGGTTTAAATGCGCCACGAAACGGCCCTTACTGTCCAAGCTGTGTCACTGTGGGGGTAAATAGTTGAAATTCTCCTCTCTACTTTCTTTGTTGCATTACTACTAGTGTCGATGATCTTGTTGATGATCTTCTTGTTGATTATCTTCATCACCATAAGGACATGATCTCTTCCTGGTAGGTTCCATCTCTGTGCGTCTCGGGGTCGTCTGGACTGCTTGGAGGTCATCCTGGCTCACGGGCCAGACATTAACATGACAGATGGCACAGGTGAGATGACAGTCTCATTACCTGAACATGTTGTTTACGCGTTCAGTGTCACGGACCGCCAAGGTAACGCCTTGTGGCTATAACTGGTCAAAACAATTACAACATGCTCTCTTGCTACCCTCATTCTTTCCTTCTCTCTCTTGGTGATTGAAATGGCCTTATCAACCCCAAGGCTTCAGTGCCCTTCACCTAGCAGCCAAGAACTGCCAGCCTGAGTGCCTGAAGAGACTATTACAGGTACAATAGACAGTCAGACACAGTTAATATTACTACGATACATGGAAAATAAGGTATGCAGTTATCATGCATTTTTGGTGAATACGTCTCATACTCCCACAGGAGAGATTGCCTGTAGACTCCACAGACAGCTTTGGCCGGACAGCTTTGCATCACGCAGGTCTGCAATGTACTAGCTACTGTATAATACAATTGATTACAGCACTACATGTGTAACACTGTAAACAACTCAACCATTTTATACCTTCCATTTGTCTCACTATTTATGTCTGTCCATCTTCCTGCAGCTGTGAGCGGCTGCTTGTCCTGCACTGAGACTCTGTGGGACTTCAAGGCCAGTCTGGATGCCCAGGATGGGGTAAGTGGCATTGGCCTTAGACTGCCTCTGTACAGCAGCAGTCACCAAGCCAGGTCCTGGAGAGCTAAAGGGTGTGCAGGGTTTTGTTACAGACAATTACTAAAACACATGATTCAATCAACCATGTTAAGTCATTGTGGCCTCGTCTATCTCAGGATGGGGCGACACCCGCTGATCCTAGGAGCCCAGATGAGCAGAGTGGAGCTGTGTGCTTTCCTGTTGGACCGAGGAGCCAATCCCAACATACAGGACAGCCAGGGCAGGTACTTCAACAAGACACAACAAACAATGCTTTGTATTAGATTGACTGTAGCTCAGTTTATAGAGCATGGCGCTTGCAATGCCAGGGTTGTGGGTTCGTTTCCCACGGGGGGCCAGTATGAAAATGTATGCACTCACTAACTGTAAGTCGCTCTGGATAAGAGCGTCTGCTAAATGACTCAAATGTAAATGTAAACTTATGCAAAACAAACTGTGAACATAAGACAAAGGTGATGGCTGGCTATGTAGTCACATAGACCTGCAGTGTTTCATAAGGGGCTAAGTGTATGTTATGTGTGCTGCTCTTATGTTCTTGATCTTATGGTTTTTGTGTTGTAGGTCAGCCCTGATGCTGGCCTGTGAGAGTGACAGTGCAGAGACTGTGGAGGCGTTGCTAAGGGGAGGGGCTAACCCACATCTGGCCGACGCCCTCGGACACCACGCAGCCCACTACGGCGCAACCACCGGCAACCAGCACATCGCACAGCTGCTGCAAAACGGAGCTCCAGGTAACCAACGGTAACCTTTGGTTGTCTCACCTGCCGACTGCAGCAGGATTGAGCTTCATTCCATTTCAAATAGGATTTTTACAATGGTTGAATTGGAATTTCCATCCACCCCCTGAACTGAGTGAATTGAAATGGAATCGACCCTGACAATGCTCTGCAGCCCTACTCTGGGCTCTGGCACTGGCAGTCTGGTGCACAGAATTATAATTGATAGAATAAACTAATTCAAATCAACATTCCCTGCTGGGTGTATGGAGGCCATATTTGGTGTACCGTTTCAAATGTTTATTTAATTGGCATGGTAACTGCCACAAAACGATGTCTGCTATTGGGTGTACTGTACCAAAATCCATGGTGCTTTATCCTTTCTATCAGTTGTAATTCTATGGTCTGGTTTATGGCCTCAATCTGGTCCCCCAGAAAATTGCTGTAATGTGAGGAAGTGGAAGAAGGGGACAGCTGGGGGTAATTGTTACAGGCTGAAACAGAGAGGGAAGGCTTGCTGCACTTTTATCTTTAAACAAAGGCTTGCTGATTTACGAAAAACAGATGTGTGCTTCGTTTGAAATGGAGGTGAATGAAGGAAGAGCAGGGCCTAAAATGTCACTTGTGTATCTGATATATGAGGAGTCTTGGAGCTGACAGCTTACAGCTTACAGTAGGGCTGTTGTGTGGTGGGATACTGTGTGAGACAGGATATTGGAGGATTTTTTATGATGCTTTTTGGGGTATGCTTTTGTGGGTAGTGGGTATGCTTTTTTAGCTTTAACTGCAGTGTAAATCATTATGTGTGTGTTTGTTTGTGTGTGTGTGTGTTGAATCTCAATGGACCAGAGGTTAAAAGGCCTTGCTGTTTGTCTCTCCCCATGCATACATAGCCACTGAGGGCAATTGCGAAGAGGTAACTTACCACTCATCATTTCGTTTTCATTTTCATTGACTACACATTCATGTGAAAACATAGCCAGTATTACTGAATTGTACATAACAGACTTTACGACATAGGAACGAACACCAACTTCTTATCACATTTTCTATCTACAACAACAACTTTTGAGCTGAAGTAACATCTCACAAGGACAACACAAACATCTCATGACAAGACATTTTAGGCTACAGTACTGCTTGGCTTTGTTTTTGACCTTGCTGCTTCTCTCCTCCTGCTTTCCCCCTTTCCCCCATTCCCCTGTTCCCCTGTTCCTTCTGCTTGTCTGTGCCTCCAGAGACAGCCCCCTCCTCCCCCTCCCCTACCAGGGGGTACGACCCCCCGCAAGAGGAAAGCCCCCCCTCCACCGCGCTCCCCTCCCCAGGTACGACTGCAGCTCCAGAGATGGATGACATAGTTGCTACTTTGACATATCAAAATGCTTTTTGTATGATTCTTACTAATGCTAAGCTGTGATAATCATGCTCATAATAACTTTGATAACCATGTTCCAGGGCTCTCCGCCATCTCCTGCCCCCCAGAGCCCTCCTCCCCCTGCCTCTCCTGAGACCCAGACCAAGAGACCCTCTCCACCTCCTCAGTCCCCAGAGACACAGCGCCCTGCTCAGGCTAACCTTGTGAGTTACGGCCCCTGCCACTGCATACTGTATGCATAGCACCTAGGGTTGCAAAACTACTGGTAATTTACCAAAGTTACCGAAATGTTAGGCAATTTTGGTAATTAATAGGTAATCTATGGCAATCTATGCTAACTATGGTAATTAATACATGAATAACTTTTTTTTAAAATGTTTTCATATAAAGTTTTCATTTTTTATACATTTCTCCATAAGTTTCTAGTAGATGGTTCAAGAGTAAATAGCCCAATTAATGAAAAGATTATCTAATCAACAAAGGCATTATTTTCAATTAACTCTGCAACTCTTCCAACTATCCACTCACTAACTGTAAGTCGCTCTGGATAAGAGCATCTGCTAAATGACAAAACATTTATTTACTTTTTTCACAACTGCCACCAGTTTGGCGCCAAAATATTTACAACAAAGACCTATTGACATAGCTAGTAAAATATATAAAAGAGTGTAAAAAATATAAAGGATATTGCATGCTGAAACCCTCATATTAAACATCAATGTTATTCAATAAGTTGATGGGTTATATTTAGGATAATGTTTTACAGTTTTGTCATTCAATTTTATATTTCACAAGAGATAAAGCCACATAGAAGGCCAGACATAATTACAGACACCTGTGATAATCTAAATTAACCAAAAAGGCCACTAGATGTAATGTGATAAATTACATAAAATCCTTGAAAGTTAGCAAAATTCAGTTAGTTTACTGGTAATTGTTACCACTAATATACCCTCCCTTTGCAACCCTAATAGCACCTACACATACAGGAGATAAAATATGCTTATACTTATGGTATGCAACCTTAACACATCTCAATTCAAAGTACTCATCTTTAGATATCAATTTTGAGGATCAATATTTATGACTGTAGCAGACAGTAACAGACAATACATAATGAATGACTATCTACTGTATTCAATTTGAGACTGCTAATGAGTATGGTGCTGCTGTGCGACTGTGATATTACTGATATGTATTGCCATGTGTGTGTCTGTGAGACGGAGGATGAGGAGGTGTTTGAGGAGATCCGCAGGCTGCGTCTGGAAAGGGGACGTCTGCTCCAGAAGATCAAAGGTCTGGAGCAGCAGCAGAACAGCGCCCACACTGCCCTGGAGGAGGTACTACATGTAGGGTTAACTTCCCAGCCTGAGCTCAAGCTCAAACGCCTAGAAAACCTCTCAAATATCTGAAAAGAAATCTGCTGTGAACTCACTCTCTCCCTGTGCTAGCTGACTCAGCTGAGAGAGCGTCTGCAGCAGGCAGAGGCAGAGCGGGACAGGCTGCAGACTGAGCTGGAGGAGCTGAAGGCAGGTCAGGGGATCGGAGCCAGTGACTCAGATGACGACATGCTGGACTTCCCAGGTGTGTGTGGGGAGAGAGGGAATACTGCTAGCAGTTTGTTATATTTGTTAAATTGACCAAATGTTGGATAGATGGACTAGGTTGTAGCAGCCTAATGAGAGTCATACCTAGATGATGAATCATCACTCAAATTCTAGCTACTGACATGGCAATGGCTGATGTTTTGTTCATCAAAATATGACATTGATTTACCCCCGTCTATCTTGAAGGTGCTGAGAAGCTGCTCTCCAGGAGGTCCAGAGAGTCTCCCTATGCTCTGGACGAGGGGGAGGCAGACTCCCTCAACCCCACCTCTCCTGGTCCTGCAGACCCAGACACTGTGGCTGAGCTACGCAGACAGCTGGAGGAGCTGGCCTTACAGAATCAGGAGCTGGTCCTCAAAGTGCAGGTAACAAACATACACACACACCAAACACAAACACACACACACCATAAGCTAATGAATTGATAGAGAGGGAGTTATAAAAAGGCCCTTCAGAGTCGAGAGCAGTACTGATGATGCTGCTGGTTCAAGGCTGGCTGAGCAGCGTCAGATTGGACCATTAGTCATAACCACTTTATAGGTCTATGATGCAGCATCCAGCTAGAAATAGAATAATAGCACCACAGAGAGGCACAGAGACTGGTTGCAGGCATTCTTCACTAACTGGGTCATGGTCTGTACAAATAGACAGAATTGGGACAAAGGGTTACAGCCAGGCTACCATTGGAGGGTGTGTCTGAGGCTGTGTACTGCATGAGGGCTAGTACAAAGGCTGGTATAAAGTCTGAACCTGTCACCAAGGAGGAGTAGAGGAGTTCTGTGACTGGCGACTTGAGTTGATAAAGTTTTGACATAAAAATAGGATGCTTAACCTATGATATACATGTCACTGTGATCTTGTGTGGTTTGCAGATGCTGGAGATGTTTGAGAAAGATGACACTGACATGCAGACATCCGGCCCAGACTTTGTCCCCATGGCTCTGTATGACTCCCTGAGGAGGGAGTTTGAAGCTCTGCAGGAGCACTACTCCCAGGCCCAGGCTTCAGCTGAGGCCTCCAGCATGATGGGGGAACAGGGGTAAGGATTAACACCACACCATCTTACACCAGCCACCTTATACTTTCTGGATAAGAGCATCTACTAAATGACTCAAATGTCACATTTACACCACCCACTAGGGTTGAAGTTCCATTTGTAGAGGTGCCCTGGGGTGCTGAGCACTATCATAAGGGCACCCCGGTAAGGACTACAGTAATAAATCAACATGGACACCCCCATAAGGGTTCAACATATTAACACTGGTCCAGCCCACTATTTTTAGCATCTTTAAGCCCACTATTTAAGAGTCGGTGTGAAATTTGAACCCTGCCAGCCACAGTATTGTAATTAGAAGATTCTAGCTAACATAATATGCCTCTACAACCATAGTTAAACCTCTCACTTCACTTCACTTCACTTCTGATGTTTGTTGTCTTTTCTGAAGGTGTGAGGAGGTGGAAGGGGGAGGAGAGGGGGAGTCAGGAGCAGAGGGGAAGGAGCAGACAGAGGAGATGGAGGGGGAGAGCAGTAAGGAGCTGAGGGAGAGGCTGTGTGGTCTGGAGGAGCAGCTGGCCCACTCCCAGTCTGAACTGGAGGAGCTGAGAGAACAGGTGCACCTTGGGGTCTACTCCGTGGAACAGGCGGGGGGCGACGGGGGCACGGTGGGTGAGACGGAGGGGGCGAGCCAGGAGACGCAGCAGCTGAGAGAGAGAGAGAGACAGGGGGAGGGACAGAGTGAGGGTGAGGGCGAGAGCGCAGGGGACAATGACACAGTCAAACAGCTGAGAAATAAAGTTAAGGAACTACAGGCAGCCCTGGAAGAGAAAGGAACAGAAAAAGAGGGCATAAAGGAGGACGGAGGAGGGGAGAGTGAGACAGTGAGGAGCCTCAGGGAGAGGGTGAGCGAGCTTGAAGCCGCCCTGGCGGAGAGCAAGGAGTCAGAGAGAGCAGGTGGAAGGAGAGAGGGAGTGGTAAAGCCAGAAGGGGAGGTGGTGCGGAGGCTGCAGGGGCGTGTTGGTGAGCTGGAGGGGGAGCTGAGGCAGTGTGTGCCCCGTACGGAGCTGGATGAGGTGCAGGTGACCCTGGGTCTGCAGTGTGAGCAGCTGGCCAGGGAGAGAGCTGAGGCCAGCCTGAGACTGAACGAGGCCTTACTGGAGCTGGAGAGACTACGGCCCCCCAGCCCCACACACCACCAGGGAGACGAGGAGGAGGAAGAGGAGGAGGAAGAGAGGTCAGAGGGGTCAGAGCCCTCCATCACATCAGGTGGGTGTTTCCCTGGTGTCTACCTGGTGTCTTGTTACTGTTATACTCCGGTGTTATAATGTTCTCTGTACCTTATCTATCATCTTATTTCACTGTAGTCAATCACAGTGCTAAGCTTTAAATAACATGTTTATAACAATTCATTTGCTGTCATGTAATGACTTTCATGTCTCTCTGAGTTTGTGGCGACAGTTCTGTCCAATCAGAGCACTCTCTAAGTCTGTGATATTTATTCTCTCCAATTAGAGCGCTCCCTGAGACGGGTGAGAGAGGAACTGGAGGTGGCTAGGCAGGAAGCAGCTCAGGCTCTGGACTGTTTGTGTGCGGAACGCGAGGGCCGGGCTCAGGACACCCTAAACATGAGAGACGCAGTATCCCTGTCCCAACACACAGAGGCGCTATCAGCCCTGTCGGAGCAGCTGGCCCAGACAGCCCAGGAGCTGCAGGCAGAAAGGGCCCTGCGATGCCATGCCCAGACTGAGACGGCTAGGCTAGAGGCCCGGCTACAGGCCACACAACAGGAGCTTATACCCAGAGAGGAGCACAACAAAGTTAAGGTTAGCTTGAAGAGAGATGCATGCAAACGACGAGGGAGTTATCCTCGGATCATATATATTGAGGTCCTAAGTAAATGGATATTAGGCTATCGTAAATACAACATATGTTTTAGCACAAATAACTAACCGCCAGAATCATGTAGGACCCACACTTGGCAACGTACGGCCCACTTCTGTCAATCACATACAGTCGCCAGTCCCTCCAGGATTCCGCGATTCTGCAAATCGCAATTTATTTTTGCAAAATCACCAATCCCTGCATATTATTATATTTGACCAATCACCGTACTATATCCGCATAAAACAGTAAATCATTGCAATTTTATCGCAAAAAAACGGATACATCACCGTAGTACAAAAAAAGGGCTCGCAATTTCAACCAATCACTGCACATTTACTGCATAATATGGTTCAATCAAGCTACATGTCAACAAACTTTTTCCCTCGTCAGCGCATTTTCGTGACAAATTGAACAAAATCATTGCATATTGCCATGCAAAATGTCAGAATTACCCCAGCAAAATCAAGCATTTTTGCCAGCAAATATCACAAAAAATCCCGCCGAAGTCCTGGAGGGACTGAGTAGCCTACATTACAGTAGAAGATGGAGCAAGATGGATTTTGGCCGACATTCTGCAAATTTTCTCATCTATGAAACATTTGATCTCCATACAGTTTTCTGTTTCCAAAACTAGAATCTGAAAAAAACAGAGTGGACTGCGTTGTGTGGACTTTACCCTTTGCCAAAGTTTTAAAAAATTGAGTTGTTTAGGAGTGCAAGGGCAAATTGAGTTATTGCACACACGCACACTTCATAGAGTAGGCGTTCCCTAATGGAAATATGCAAAAACATTATAGAACGCACCAATAGGATCTCACTAGCTCGTGCTTGGCTCGGCCCACCTCCTTGTTTGTTCTGCCCACTAGGATTAATTTGCTCCCATTGAAAATGATAGGCTCTGTTCTATCTTAGGTTAGTTATAAAAATCTTTGACAGTGCTATGAAAGTAGTACTTCCTGACTTCATGCTGTCTACTGTTCCTGTTGTATCAGACGGAGCTGCAGCGCGCTCTGCAGGCCAGTGAGAGCAGTGCGGCGGAGGCCAAGGATGCTCTGAGTGTGAAGGAGACAGAGCTGAGAGATCTGAGGTCCCAAAAGGCTGTGGAACAGGGCCTGGTGTCCAAGGAGGACCACGAGTCCCAGCGCCTCTCACTGCAGGCCGATATCAACACACTCACCGCCCGATTCAACGACCTCACACGCAAACACGAGAAGACCTGCACCGAGGTGTGTGTGTGTGATGTTTTTGTTCTTGTTTACCAAAATAGTGATAATTTGAAGAAAGTTAGAGACTGAAACGTTAACTCAAGAGTTAACTACAAACCACATGCTACAGACTACAGGTTGGACTGTTGCCACAATAGCGGACGAACTGATGTGCACCAGGGCTTCCTTTCTCCTTTTGCATTATTTATGTGTGTGTTCTATATCTCCCTGCAGCCTTTGTTTTCATGGCCATGGACGTGCTGTCTCTCTCCCTTTTCCCTTACGTCATCTATCTATCCCCCATCCCTTTCAAGGGGCGCCGTACTACTATGGCTCACCCTGTAAAACAACACATTTCACTGCATCTATCCGGTGTGTGACAATAAAACATCTTTCTTTCTCCCGGTCTCCCTCCCAACAGGTGTTCCAGGTGCAGCGCGAGGCTCTGTTTAATAAGAGTGAACGTCAGGTGGCCGAGGCTCAGCTGGCCACAGCGCAGCAGCAACTGGCTGACCTGCAGGCCCAGTCCAGCCACGTCCAGGAGCTCCACAAAGACATCCAGGACTCCCAGGGCCTGGTCAAGGAGAAGGACCGCAAGGTGAGACAGGGACACAGATGGTAGAAGTTAAATTGAGCTACCCTATACTTTATTTCGAAATCGACCTGGCTACCCATCCACATCGCTCTGGCCAAGCGCCACGCCCACTAATGTTTCTTCTCCATGATGAGTCTGGCTTTGATCTCCTCCCTGACAACTTCTAGAATGCGAACACATTCAAACCGTTTTGATTGGTCAAAGAAACCGATGGGTTGGGCCAGAGCCTGAACACACGAGGGTAAAGCGGCGTTTCGGAAATAGTCATTGGCTTTGATACTCTGATTGGTTAGAGACGATTTGTTTCATACAACGCCCCTCACTTTAACATCAGCAGAAACGACTTTTACGACGGCGGTCTCAGACTGAATGTAAGTAGCGATAGATAAATAGAGCAGTGGAATTAAATTCAGTATAAGTCATCAGGCAACCTACCCCTTGCCCTCTGGCAAGCTGGGTGGAATTTGTGACATGTTACTATCCACTCCATTTAGATCTACACATAGTGCTGAAGGGTGAGGGCATGAGTGTGATTTGGAACTGAGAAAAAGACAATGGGAAATGAAGGGATCTGTGATCTCCCTCCCTCTCTTGTTGTGTGTAGATAATGGAGCTGTCTAAGGAGGTGTTCCGTCTGAAGGAGGCTCTGGGTGCTCTGAGTCCTCCTCTGGGACTCTCCTCCTCCCACTACTCCTCTCACTCCCACTCTGAGAGAGTCCCCCCTGTGAACCCTGGCCAGCAGGTGGCGCTGCAGAACAGAGTGGCTGTACTCTCCAAGGAGCTCCAGGTGAGGGCATCACTGAGCCAAAACAAATACCAAATACCTACGTTCATGGTTAAAAGAATGCTGGAGTATACTGTCTGTACTGTATATCTTATTACAGGATTGGGAACGAAAGCACAGACAAGTCGTAGCTGTATACCGATCCCATCTACTGGCTGCTGTACAGGTAAGTCCAACTCTATGCACCTTTGTAGAAGTATCGGGTCAGTGCAATATGAAGTGTTGTTGTGTAGCTAAGGGGATGTGAATGAGACTTGTTGAATCTTCCTCAGGGCCGGATGGATGAGGAGGTACAAGATCTGTTACTGCAGATCCTGAGGATGTCACACAAGGACCAGGGTTACTGACCCCCCCCAGGCAGTGTACTCCCTGTGCAATGGAAGACACAATGGGCTATGGGACCCATCACTGTACTATACCATCTACTAACTACAGTATATGTACACACTTACTGAAAGCAACTGGTCTGTTCTGCATACAGTACAGTACGTGTAGCCTTGGAAATACATTAAGGCTAGCCCATTCATGACTAGTATTGAACTGGATATACATGGACAGGTATGGTTTTCTGGTATCAGAAAGATAAATGTCTGTATAGATAATAACTTGTATTGAATAACAAGAATGTATGTCTTGTCTCAATTGTGTGATGAGCCTACTGATTGTATGTATTTTGTATGATATTCTTACAATAAAGACGTAGAAAGAAACCAAAATCCTGCCTCTACCTCCTTGTTTATTTATTGGATCAATAAAAACGAAAAGCTCAAAGGTGATAGGACTAACATGCAGATGCTTTGAATCTATTTCCTCTATCTATTTTAGGCTAGGCCAGGGATATCAGTGGGGACTGCCATGTGCTCCCATAAAGCCTGACAGTTGGGCTTTTCATGGACATGTCATCCAACATTAGCCTACATTCCTAATCAATCCAGACCAAGGGAGAGTCCTTTGTATTGCGTCCAACACCAACCACGGCCTAGGGCTGTCCCCTACTAAAAAACATTTTGGTTGACTGAAAGTCATCTATTCTTTCGACCAATCGATTGCTCGACAAATGTAAACATGTATTTTTCCATACATAGACACACCCTATGTGTTTTAATAAACTCAACTATGTGCATTGAGCTTGTCTGATGCTTTAAGCTTACGGTTTGATGCCTTAAGAGGGCGCCAGAGATATAGATAACCAGAAGAAAAAAATGTAACCTGACTCAACTATTTTCCTCCCGCTCCTGCTGGCTTTCGCAGATTCTGCCATTACTCTCCTGAAGTTGCCGGTAATAGGCTACAAGAGGAGTAGGCAACCTTTCTAAAGTGGAATGCCAATTTAGCTTACAATTTCTACCGATCTGCGTGCCAGTTATGGTTTTCATATGCACATTTTCGTGAAACAGTTTCATTTAATTTATAATAAAGTCTTCATATCTCAAAATCATTGTCATGTGGTTAATCAAAATTCCATCCAAATCTAAATTAAAATGATACAAACCTAAAAAGTAACTTATATTGCCATTGCCAACAATGTAAAAATAGCCTACATAAAGCCAACAAATAAAAACGTTGCAGCCTGCAGGTAGAAAATATCCTGATTAAAAATAAATATCCTATAAATCACATTGGCTACACATATTCTGGGCCCTCAGTTTCCCGTGCCAGTGAGCTCAGGACAGACACAGCTGTAGACTATTTGTGCAAGGGATAAGAAGCAGCACTTGACTTGGGCAGGAGCTCACCGGAGCTGAGTATCTGCACCTCACATTTCTACTACTTGAGCTCCTGTTCCTCTTATAGAACATTAGCTTAAAGGTATTGTGGAACTCCTGCACCTAAATATAAACAGTACCAGCACCCAAAATGAGTACTGGAACCTATTTCAGTTTAAATCAAGCACTGATAACTGATAAGAAGCCTGTTTTATGACGTTTCCACTGGATCAGAGCATGACATTTTTCCCTTTCATGCTGAGTGGTTATCGAAAGGGAGAGAGCTGGAAAGATTTTTCAAATACATTGAGGAACTATTGTAATTCTCAATGGATGTAAAAACAGACTTCGTTTGCTTGCTGTTTGATGTGAAGAAAACATTACTTTGAGAAGCTCCACAGGTCATTAGTGGTGGTGCTTTAAACCAATCAGAAATACTATCAGATCCCCAAATGGGCACATTTATATGCCTACATTTGCGCGCAGGCCAGGTAGTCTATAGGCCTACTTCTATGCATGCGTGTCCTTACTCAACATTGACAGGAGCGCTCCAAACAAAATACAATTACTAAATTGACAGAACTGGTAAATGGAATTAAATAAACCAAAACTTGTTTCTCACAAGTGTAGCTTAGGTTGTGCACTGTGCAAACAATGTGTCCACTCCGACAATGAGAACAGGAAGACTGGAATAATAATATTGAATGCATTAAAATAAATGACCTTAACCTAATTAACAAACATTGTAGATTAGAAATGATAGGAATTAAAGGTAAATGTACTACTGGTGATATATGTAATGGGGAATTGATATACACTAACAATCAAACGCAAACAATGCACACAAGGAAGTTATGAAACAATGAATGTGCACAAATTGGCGGGAGAGAGCGCATTCTGGAAAGAGAAGTGCATTGTGCATCTGGGCGCATGGTCAATCCGATGTCTGCATTGGCCATGCAGCATTTACGGTGATTAGCAGAAGTCAGGGCATTCATACTTTTTGCGCTTCGCGGAGCAGTGCAGAGCTGTTGTCAAGGAAGTGAGTTTGTGTTTATATAGGATGTACCGTCCCCACCTACTGTCAACCAAGCATGTCAATGCGGAGCTATACAGAGCCCTACGCATTGTTAGAACATTTGGGAGGCGCATGGCGTTGCGGTACTGAGCTCGATTTGGCCTCTGCATGCATCTGAAGGCTTCGCAATTGTGTCACAACCTCCATATAGAGCCTCCGACCACATTTTCGAATCAAGGATAAATTGGTTTTTAGTCAAGGCCTCCACAATGTTTTAGTTCACTGAGATGGGCGCAAATACATACACTGCATTCGGAAAGTATTCAGACCCCTTCCCTTTTTCCACATTCTTCCCTTCCCCTTTTCCACATTTTGTTAAGTTACAGCCTTATTCTAAAATGGATTAAATAAAACATTTTCCTCATCAATCTACACACAATACCCCATAATGATTAAGCGAAAACAGGTTATTAGACATTTTTGCAAATGTATAAAAAATAAAAAACAGAAATACCTTATTTACATAAGTATTCAGACCCTTTGCTATGAGACTCGAAATTGAGATCAGGTGCGTCCTGTTTCCATTGATCATCCTTGAGATGTTTCTACAACTTGATTTGTGTACACCTGTGGTAAATTCAATTGATTGGACATGATTTGGAAAGGCACACACCTGTCTATATAAGGTCCCACAGTTGACAGTGCATGTCAGGGCAAAAACCAAGCCATGAGGTTGAAGGAATTGTCCGTAGAGGTCCAAGACAGGATTGTGTCCAGGCACAGATCTGGGGAAGGGTATCAAAACATTTCTGCAGCATTGAAGGTTCCCAAGAACACAGTGGCCTCCATCATTCTTAAATGGAAGAAGTTTGGAACCACCAAGACTCTTCTTAGTGCTGGCCGCCCGCCCAAACTGAGCAATCGGGGGAGAAGGGCCTTGGTCAGGGAGGTGACCAAGAACCTGATGGTCACTCTGACAGAGCTCCAGAGTTCCTCTGTGGAGATGAGAGAACCTTCCAGAAGGACAACCATCTCTGCAGCACTCCACCAATCAGGCCTTTATGGTAGAGTGGCCAGACCGAAGCCACTCCTCAGTAAACGGCACATGACAGCCCGCTTGGAGTTTGCCAAAAAGCACCTAAAGGACTCTCAGACCATGAGAAACAAGATTCTCTGGTCTGATGAAACCAAGATTGAACTCTTTGGCCTGAATGCCAAGCGTCACGTCTGGAGGAAACCTGGCACCATCCCTACGGTGAAGCATGATGGTGGCAGCATCATGCTGCGAGGATGTTTTTCAGCGGCATAGACTTGGATACTAGTCAGGATCGAGGGAAAGATGAACTGAGCAAAGTACAGAGAGATCCTTGATGAAAACCTGCTCCAGAGCACTCAAGACCTCAGACTGGGGCAAAGGTTCATCTTCCAAAAGGACAATGACCCTCAGCTTCGGGACAAGTCTCTGAATGTCCTTGAGTGGCCCAGCCAGAGCCCGGACTTGAACCCGTTTGAACAACTCTGGAGAGACCTGAAAATAGCTGTGCAGCGACGCTCCCCATCCAACCTGACAGAGCTTGAGAGGATCTGCAGAGAAGAATGGGAGAAACTCCCCAAATACAGGTGTGCCAAGTTTTTAGCGTCATACCCAAGAAGACTCAAGGCTGTAATCGCTGCCAAAGGTGCTTTAACAAAGTACTGAGTAAAGGGTCTGAATACTTATGTAAATGTGATATTTCAGTTTTGTATTTTTAATACATTTGCTAACATTTCTAAAAACCTGTTTTTGCTTTGTCATTATGGGGTATTGTGTGTAGATTGATGAGAAAAAGAAAACAAATTGAATCCATCTTAGAATAAGGCTGTAACGTAACAAAATGTGGAAAAAGTCAAGGGGTCTGAATAATTTCCGAATGCACTGTATATATTTGTTACTGCTCGAATAAAACAATCTTGATCGGCCAACAGCCTAACGACCAAACAATCGACCAGTCGAATAATTGGGGTCAGCCCTAAACCATGCACATTTGAATAACCTTAATTTTGATTCATTTTATTGAAAAGAATGCATTTAGTTAAAAGAAGAGTAGATACAAGAAAGTCCTGAGAAAGCAAAGGGGTCATTTTAGAAAAGTTGCATAAAGTATACTAACGTCACAGAAAGCCATGTCCTGTCTCTTTCCCTGTGTCTGGACAGAGACAGAGACACAGCAGAGACCAGGGGATCCCCTATCTACTGATCAAACATGCTGCCATTAACAACACAGGATCCCCCCCCCCCCCCCATATTCATCAGCAGCTTATAGAATGTTTCACAATAAAAAGGGATGATTTCTTTCAGTCCACTCCATCCATTGACTAAAGTATGGTTTGGCATGGCAAGAAAATGTGTCATTTGTTCTCAGGGCATACATACATACGTACATACAGTACACACTACTGTATTTCTGCTGTGGTAGTACACACTGTACAAGCAATTTGGGAGGAAAGATATGAAACACATGGACAATTAAGGCACTGAACTATTTTACGGGTCTGAGGAGATATTCATTATATATACACTGAGTCATTTATAGCAATGTAGTCTGCCTTCTGAGAGCCCAGGCTCTGACCAGTGTGATAACTTCATACAGTAGGCTTGATAATACACAACTTGGGTAGGTATTCATTGATGAGCTATGACTGTCCGATACAAACACTTTGACAAGTATGTGGTTATAATTGAACAATCACATTGATATTCAGAGTTCTGCCCATGTATTTTGTGTTATGTAGTCTTGTAGATATTGAGGGGACAGAGGGACAGACACATTTTCTAGGTTTGTGTCTGGTTAGTACTCTCTAAAGCATATTTCAATTCATGCAATCAGATATTTAAAGCCTGCAGAATTTGGTCCTGAGATTACATATGAATACATCTCATGAAGTTGCAGGTACTACTGCTGCAGATGAACAGTTTATAAAAGTCAATTAAAGCATCCCAATGTCTCAGGAGCAAAGAACTGCATTCTGATTAAACAATTGAGTGATATTTTTCTGCCAGGATTTTCTTACATATCATATACAATGTTTTTGTCTATGAATGTTCACATTTGTTCCCTGAAAGACACAGGGAACCCAAATCATTATGGGACTGTGATTGACTACAGCAGTTTGAGACTCATTATGAGGTGCAACATCATCATGCACTCAAAAATAATGATTTCCTATGGAACAACTACTGTATGTCACTGTGATGATGTAATCTGACCCTCTATGACCTCTGACCTCGAATTCCATCCTTGTGATTGACTGGGCTGTTACCTCCCAATCCGAGGCGTCCAGGTGTTGCTTAGCTTAATGACTGCATGCTGAGAGTTCAGGTGGAAATGGTGGACAGTTTGTGGGCACTGCGGGAGGAAGCCAAGTACTGCAGCCATGCCCCTGGGTCCTGGGCAGAGGGAGTCGCCTGTCCTCCTACCCCAGTGAATGCTCTGATTCTGGGGATATGGATATGGCAGTGAAGATCTTCCTCCCTGGGGATTACATGGAAACACCTCTGACTCCTGGTGAAACAGGCAATATTGGAAAACTTTCAAAGGATATCACTCAAACACATATTAGAGATCTAGACCAGTAGAATACTAAAATCTAGAACATAAACTTTATTAATACATTATCATGTATCAATAAACTGGCCACACTGAAACAAAGGTTATCACAAGACAGTCATTTTAATCTAGAACTAGGCAGTGCTGAATCACTTTGGGCTGTCATTGCGGTCTCTTACCATTCCAGGGAGTCATCACTTCTGTGGCTGGCTGGGTCACTGTTTCCTACGGACCACCTGTTTGAGGTGCAGCTCGCTCTCGGCCGCCACGATGGGCAGCTCGTTCTTCAGGTGGTAGCTGATCAGGTGACTAATGCTCTCAAACAGCATGTCTTTGGTGCGTACCTGACAGTGACGAGGAGGAGTGGGCTAACAGATGTTAGCAGGTAACCACATATTTAAGGACGCTAACAAGAATGCTTCTGATACCATTGTTTTGTACTCAACAATGCTAATGCTAGGCTGTAGCTAAGTGGCTGACACCATTTCCATAGAAAATGTTTAATCTCTATGGGACAAATCCTAACTTCCACTTAAGTAGAATTTTCACTTAATCATGCATTGATGTCAATAGGTGACTATGTAAAAATGTGACTTATTGACCATCATTTCCACCTTTAATATTGTTAAGTGCCAGTAGGTGATTATCACTCACCACTCCCTCTGGGTCGACCAGTAGCAGGTGTTTGGGCAGACCACAGTGCATGCCCGTCAGGACATACTGGCCTGGGTTGGTGGCACTGTCTCGTACAAGGAAGTCCCCGTCTCGAACCAGCAGTTTCTCAGCATCACGGCGGCTCATACGCCCGTGGTACCAGGCCTCTCGCCGGAGCTGCTCCTCTGTAGGGGCGACTGGGGCACGACGTCGGGGCGGGCTGGGCCACTGGTCCTTCAACACACACACCCCACCGTTACCACCGACACCACCAGCCTTGTGCATCTTTAGAGCATCCTCAAAGGGTCCTGCAGAGAACCAGGAATAGTGAGAACACATGCATGGCACACACCTGTAACATTAATGACATCATCCATACATGCCAACCCTATTTCCCAGATACTCCCTACATCTTGAATAATAAGGGTATCTCTATTGTGTCAGTGGCTGTGTTCAGCGGATGGGTAGCTGTTGGTGAGACTCACTCATGTCAAAGATGTCTTTCATGGGGCTGTCTGGCCCCCTGGCCCCCCTGTGGCCCTCTGCTCCCTGCTCCAATCCCTCCAGCCTCTGGGTGTTCACATATAGGTGCTCCTCATAGTCCCTGCTCCCCGGAGGCTGGCCGTCTGCCTGCTGGTAACCATCTGCTATCAGACCTGTCAATCACAACTCAGTTTACTAATACATAGCTACTTACTTACACATTTCATAAATTGTAGTTATCTGTGGTATTGTATTAGAGACACATAGCCTATAACCATAGACCATTAGTCAATATTCTTACTTAAAAAATAAAGAATCCACAAACATTGTAATAATACCTGGGACTTGCAGTATTGTCACCTGCAGTACCATATCACGCCACGTGGTGTCTCACCTGAGCTGCCATTGTTTTCAGTATCCCAGTGCAGCTCGTAGCACAGCTGACCTGAAGGGTAGGAAGCTGTGTCTCTCCTGGCCGGAGAACCCATCTAAAAGCAGATGCCCCAAACTCACATTAGCATTACTAATAGTAGACATGTACTTCTTTATGACTCTTCAGACCACCTGGTAATAAATAGTTCCTCTCTTGTCTATGTAATACACCATATGTTTGAATCCTCAGTATAGGCTGCAGGGTATGAGCAAGACTTTCCTCTCACCAATTAGCTAACCCAGAGGCCTGGTTTCTATCTCGAGTGATATCAATCTCTTGTAATTATGTAGCAGGCACATCTACAAGACAGTTATTGGGTTCACTGCTACTGTATGCTCACAGTTCTCTCTCTTCTCAGAGACATTATGTGGAAAAACCAGGCAAGGTCATCAGTCATGTGTCCAGAAATACTATATCAAAGGGTTTGGTGGTGAGGCTGGAGGCTGGGGAATCACCTGCGCTGCCTTGCTCTCTGGTTGGCTGTGGACGTGGCCCAGCAAGGCCGTAAAAGGCTTCAGCCTTGAGTCCACCACTCCCCCAAAAGGAGGCACCTTCCCCGGGATGCTGTTGTAGTAGTCGTGCTCCAAGGAGTCCTCGTCATCACCCCACGCCGAGTCTTCTGTCCTGATGTTCCTGAAGTGACATGGTTAGAATATAGGTAATTTAATTCCCAAATGTGACAAGGCAAGGGATCAGATACTTCCTCCACATCTGATAACGTTAAACATGAGGGTTGAATGGTTCTATTGTTGGTAGCAGGAGATACATTTGAAACCAGAGCAGAGCAGGTACAATAGAATTCTCCTGTCTACCTGGTGACACTAAAAACGCTTGTGGTCCGGTGACACAGGGAAATGCACTCCGCTTGAAATAACAGTTTTGATTTCGATGGACTGAAATCTGAGCACAGCATATCACATTTCTAGCAAGTGACAGAGATAAAAATGTTTGAGTTTCATATTGAGTTGAGTGTGTGTCTTTGGAAAATGCAAGTAAACGCTTTAAGTAGCACACCATGCTTGCACTGTACCAATGCATTAAAACCACACAGGATGAATACATTGAGTCTAGGTGTGTGAAGTCTTTGTCTTTCCAGCCACAACCCTATATTTAGTGCAGTGCTTGTGTACACTGACCATGGTGCAGAAGAAGGCCCTCAAAATTGTCAAAGACTCCAGCCACCCTAGTCATAGACTGTTCTCTCTGCTACCGCACGGCAAGCGGTACCGGAGTGCCAAGTCTAGGTCCAAAAGACTTCTCAACAGCTTCTACCCCCAGGCCATAAGACTCTTGAATAGTTAATCATGGCTACCCGGACTATTTGCACTGCCCCCCCACCCCCACCCCCCACCACATATTTTTACGCTGCTGCTACTCTGTTAATTATTTATGCATAGTCACTTTAACTCTACCCACATGTACATATTATTTCAACTACCTCAACTAGACGGGTCCCCCGCACATTGACTCTGCACTGGTACCCCCCTGTATATATAGCCTCCCTACTGTTATTTTATTTTACTTTTGCTATTTTTTTCTCAACACCTTTTTGTTGTTTTATTTTACTTTTTTTTATAAAAAAAGAAATGCACTGTTGGTTAAGGGCTGTAAGTAAGCGTTTCACTGTAATGTCTGCACCTGTTGTATTCGGCGCATGTGGCCAATATAATTTGATTTGATGTGGTTACATGTCGATTGTGATTGTAATATCAAGCCTGTGTGTCATTACACAGTCCATACAGTGGTGTGTGATGGATGAGTGTTGGTTTATTGACTACAGCTAAGTTAGCACATTACAACAACCGTCAATGGTCTGGGCTTTTGGAACAGTTTGTAGTGTGCTAGTCTTGAAACCTGATGGTTGCTGGTTCACTTCCCTCTATCATCCCAGATTCACTGCAGTGGCTCTGTCTCACCTCTCCATGGAGGGGATGGCTTTGGGAGGGCTGTGGAGGTACTGTTTAAACTGCAGTTCGAAGGCCTGCCCGATGGTGCTGATGACATTCTGGGCTAGACCGTCACAACACTCCAGGATATGGCATGCTGAAGAGAACATAGAGGATGTGAGTGCTGCAACGCCACTGTGAATATAACAACTTATATTTTACAGAATAAATAGAAATATCTATATCTTTAAGTTAAACAAGCGTTAGTAAACCATAATGCCAGTAAATCCTAATGCGTTTATTGCCAGGAAGAAACTGCATAGATTTATAATAAACATGTTGTTTCTGTTTATGAAATACAATGAGAAATTGAATATTGTGTAAGGAAATACCTCTCTGATTGACTGGATCTTTGGCCACATAAGCAACATAATCGGGCGTGTCCTGCAACAGAGGGAAAAACCTCAATAAACTCTGATGAATTAGGATATAATTGCATTACAGGCCTTATTGATCGTGAAGTCATGGGATTGGAAAGCGGTCAAAAGCAACCAAGTCAGACCTGCAGTCTGCCAAGCGGCCCATGTCAACAAACAGACAGAGGTAAACAAGGAAAGCACAAAGTGCACTTATGCTGCAAACTCTCACCGTGTCTCCCCCAGAGGCAAAGGAGATGGACTGCATGGGATGGTGTGCTATCACCTGTGAAACAGAAAGAGAGGAATGTGCAGATTTTATATCAGTCCTTCATCACATCAAATAATCTACAAATCAGCTATCTTGTTAGGAAAACAGGATTCTAAAAAGATCGCAATTTATTGTTTGTGTTGCGTTAGTTGAAGAGAGGGGATCTCTAACCTGTCGTGTGGTGGGGATGAGCAAACTGAGGCCCTCTATAGAGATGTTGACAGCGATGCTCATACCAGCGAAGCGCAGGTTACTCTTCCCCATGATGGATTGCAGGGCCTTGTTAATGTTCTATAGGACAGGAGCACAGAGCCTGGGCTTAGCATCACACACACACACTCACACTCACACACAATTTAACTAGTGTTGCATCAACAGATGTTCGCTCACCTTCCTCCTCCAGGCCCCTTTGCCCCCAGGCACAGCTTCACACAGTCTGTTGATGGCCTCCCTGGGTGGGTGGAGAGTGGGAGAGGAGAGGTGAAGGGGTCAGAATGACCACACAGACAGTTCCCCCATAATGAATCCCAAATCTCCCCTAAACCATACCCTTTACAAACAGTAAATCTGAGCATCAGCATGGTAATAGTTCTATCTTGCCCTTTGATAGGCTAGAAGGGCATCTTGCCATATTGGATACACCTAGCCAATCCTTTCAGATCAACTAAAGTGCCTAGAGGATAGGGGCCAGGGGTCAATTTGGAATTCAGCTTCAAGCAGCTACATGGGAAAAGGTTGAAAAGTCTAACTGTAGTCCATCATCATCATCCTATAGACAGCCTATGGGTAAAGTGGTTGCATAAACTATAGAAAGAGCAGGTCAGTGGCCCCTCCCTCAGCCTCAGGCCATGGTCAGAGGTCAGGAGTCACCAATCCATCTCAGTTCAAAGGACACAGGGGTCCCTCAGAACAAAGCAGGACAGGATCTCAGTTTACACACAGCTAACAGGAACACTTAATATCATAATCACATTCAGCTGAGTTCACATAAACAAATTCTCCCCAGTAAATTATGTTAGGGTAAGGAACAAACCTATCTCAGCATGATTGAAGGTAACAGTGTAATTTCTTCGTCTGACGATTTATGTGCTCATCAGGCTCTATTTGACTTGCATTCATTTTCCTCTCCGTTGTTTTTCCTGATTCAGAAGCGTGTGGTGTATTACTGCAGTGTATTCTATGTCATTAGGCTGCGCTAACTCCTGTGAGCATGGGGAGCATTGGGGACTTATGGGTGATGATGTCTGATGATGTCCCCTTGTGTGGTAGCAGACATAGCCGGAGCACAGGGTCTGTCAGGGGACAGAGGGGACAGGTGCGGCTGGCTGCCAGAGTCAAGGACCCGGCCCCTATCAATTGACTCGTAAATATTTAAAAAGCAGGAGCGGCCGTCTCCAGTAAAGGACTTCTCAGAGAGACTCAACTCGCGGCCTGGGAGAATAGGAGTGCATGTATAGCACATGGGGATGTCTGAAACGTACTCTTCAGCCTGAAGTGTCCCAACTTGCACCGCCAAATAACTAGCAACTTGCACCAACAAATAGTTAGCTAGTGGCGCGACTAGTAAGATGCTTCAGGAAGGCCGTCACGTGTGCTAGCAAAGCAGAGGTCCTGGGTTCGAGCCTCGGTGTGAGACGAATCAGGAGGAAGTGGTACTCGCTAAGCAAGCAGCGTGACGTCCTTCACACATTCACTACCGTTCAAAAGTTTGGGGTCACTTAGAAATGTCCTTGTTTTCGAAAGAAAATCAATTTTTTGGTCCATTAAAATAACATCAAATTGATCAGAAATACAGTGTAGACATTGTTAATGTTGTAAATGGCTATTGTAGCTGGAAAAGGCTGATTTTTTTATGGAATATCTACATAGGCGTACAGAGGCCCATTATCAGCAACCATCAGTCCTGTGTTCCAATGGCACGTTGTGTTTGCTAATCCAAGTTTATCATTTTAAAAGGCTAATTTAGAAAACCCTTTTGCAATTATGTTAGCACAGCTGAAAACTGTTGTGCTGATTAAAGAAGCAATAAAACTGGCCTTCTTGAGACGAGTTGAGTATCTGGAGCATCAGCAATTGTGGGTTCGATTTAAGGCTCAAAATGGCCAGAAACAAATAACTTTCTTCTGAAAGTCGTCAGTCTATTCTTGTTCTGAGAAATGAAGGCTATTCCGTGCGAGAAATTGCCAAGAAACTGAAGATCTCGTACAACGCTGTGTACTACTCCCTTCACAGAACAGCGCAAACTGGCTCTAACCAGAATAGAAAGAGGAGTGGGAGGCCCCGGTGCACAACGGAGCAAATTGCAAAAAGGTTTTCTAATGATCAATTAGCCTTTTAAAATGATAAACTTGGATTAGCAAACACAATGTGCCATTGGAACACAGGACTAATGGTTGCTGATAATGGGCCTCTGTACGCCTATGTAGATATTCCATTAAAAATCAGCCGTTTCCAGCTACAATAGCCATTTACAACATTAACAATGTCTACAATGTATCTCTGATCAATTTGGTGTGTTTCTTTGCAGTATCTCTCCTGGCCAAGTACAGTCCCATCCCACATGAAAAAACACTACTACAGTACATTCAGAAAGTTTTGAGACCCCTTGACTTTTTCCACATTTTGTTACGTTAGAGCCTTATTCTAAAATTGATTAAATTGTATTTTTTTCTCATCAATCTAAACACAATACCCCATAATGTAAAAACAGTAAAAATGTAAATTAAACTGAAATATCACATTTACGTAAGTATTCAGACCCTTTACTCAGTACTTTGTTGTGGTCCTCTGTAGCTCAGCTGGTAGAGCACGGCGCTTGTAACGCCAAGGTAGTGGGTTCGATCCCCGGGACCACCCATACACAAAAATGTATGCACGCATGACTGTAAGTCGCTTTGGATAAAAGCGTCTGCTAAATGGCATATTATTATTATTTTTTATTATTAAGCACCTTTGGCAGCGATTACTGCCTTGAGTCTTCTTGGGTATGACGCTACAAGCTTGGCACACCTGTATTTGGGGAGTTTCTCCCATTCTTCTCTGCAGATCCTCTCAAACTCTGTCAGGTTGGATGGGGAGCGTCGCTGCAAGCTATTTTCAGGTCTCTTCAGAGATGTTCAATTGGGTTCATGTCCGGACTCTGGCTAGGCCACTCAAGGACATTCAGAGACTTGTCCCGAAGCCACTTCTGCGTTGTCTTGGTTGGGTGCTTAGGGTTATTATCCTGTTGGAAGGTGAACCTTCTCCCCAATCTGAGGTCCTGGGCGCTCTGGAGCAGGTTTTTATCAAGGATCTCTCTGTACTTTGCGCTGTTCATCTTTCCCTCGATCCTGACTAGTCTCCCAGTCCCTGCCGCTGAAAAACATCCCCACAGCATGATGCTGCCACCACCATGCTTCACCGTAGGGATGGTGCCAGGTTTCCTCCAGACGTGACACTTGGCATTCAGGCCAAAGAGTTCAATCTTGATTTCATCAGACCAGAGAATCTTGTTTTTCATGGTCTGAAAGTCCTTTAGGTGCCTTTTGGCAAACTCCAAGCGGGCTGTCATGTGCCTTTTACTGAGGAGTGGCTTCCATCTGGCCACTCTACCATAAAGGCCTGATTGGTGGAGTGCTGCAGAGATGGTTGTCCTTTTGGAAGGTTCTCCCATCTCCACAGAGGAACTCTGGAGCTCTGTCAGAATTACCATCGGGTTCTTGGTCACCTCCCTGACCAAGGCCCTTCTCCCCCGATTGCTCAGTTTGGGTGGGCAGCCAGCTCTAAGAAGAGTCTTGGTGGTTCCAAACTTCTTCCATTTAAGAATGATGGAGGCCACTGTGTTCTTGGGGACCTTCAATGCTGCAGACATTTTTTGGTACCCTTCCCCAGATCTGTGCCTCGACACAATCCTGTCTCGGACCTCTACGGACAATTCCTTCGACCTCATGGCTTGGTTTTTGCTCTGACATGCACTGTCAACTGTGGGACCTTACATAGACAGGTGTGTGCCTTTCCAAATCATGTCCAATCAATTTAATTTACCACAGGTGGACTCCAATCAAGTTGTAGAAACATCTCAAGGATGATCAAGGGAAACAGGATGCACCTGAGCTCAATTTCGAATCTCATAGCAAAGGGTCTGAATACTTATGTAAATACATTTACACAAATTTCTAAAAACCTGTTTTCACTTTGTCATCATGGGGTATTGTGTGTAGATCGATGAGGATAAAAAAAAACTATTTTAGAATAAGGCTGTAACGTAACAAAATGTGGAAAAAGTCAAGAGGTCTGAATACTTTCCGAATACACTGTATATAGTAAACAGTAGTATACTGTAGAATACTATACTACACACTGTAGTATCCCTCAATAATTTGTAGTAATGACTTACTATAGAATGTTGTAGTATACTGTAGAATACTATAGTAAACACTACATTATTATCAGCAACAACAAAAAAATGTAGTAAATAGTACAGTAATGTCCGCAAATATTATTTTCATTTGCATATAACCCTGCCCATTGTGCCACCCATAAGTGAGAAACCTACATGCCAAGTATAGACCATATGTGTTACCTACAAGTTATACAAAAATGTCCAGAAACTATCCATTCAGACCCAAGTCCTACAGGTTATGGAAAATGTGCTCTTTTACTATTTCTACAGTAGGTTTCCTGAAGGAGAAATCCTCCACTTCTACGTCAATAATCAAACAAAAACACAATAGTAAATACTACAGCAATGTCTTAAAAATACTACAGTAAATACTACAGCATACTACAGTCCGCAAAAACACTACAGTAAATACTACAGTATACTACAATCTGCAAAAACACTACATTAATTACTATAGTATATACTACGGTTTTCATTTACTACAGTATTTATACTATAGTTAACTGTAAATACTACAGTTTTTGCGGACTTAACAGGAAGAAACACTACAGTGAACACTATACAGTCATGGTCAAAAGTTTTGAGAATGACACAAATATTAATTTTCACAAAGTCTGCTGCCTCAGTTTTTATAATATAATATATAATATGCCATTTAGCAGACGCTTTTATCCAAAGCGACTTACAGTCATGCGTGCATACATTTTTGTGTATGGGTGGTCCCGGGGATCGAACCCACTACCTTGGCGTTACAAGCGCCGTGCTCTACCAGCTGAGCTACAGAGGACAATTTGCATATACTCCAGAATGTTATGAATAGTGATCAGATGTATTGCAATTAATTGCAAAGTCCCTCTTTGCCATGAAAATGAACTTAATCCCCCAAAAACATTTCCACCGCTGTGATGCGTGTGATAGAAGGAGTCAGGCGCAGGAGAGTAATACGCATCCAAAAGAGTTTATTCCGTCGATAAACAGTTGTGCAAGCATGTGACAACAAAACTCAGGCACAGAGGAAATATCTACCCTGGCAACAACAAGGTAAGGGTAGCTCAACCGAGCTACACAC